ATGCGTGGCTGAGTTAGAAAGCGTGTTGATGGGTGGTAAGTGCTACGGAGAAAACTCACTCAGGCTGTGAGGATCCCTGGGACAGAGGGAGTGGGTTACAATTGTAAGCACGGAGGTCACAGCAGTAGAGGTCGTTTCAGGGAGGGTTAGGGGTGCTAAAGGGACAGAAGCAGGTAAAGTGCCCAGAGCTGGGGTGCATGGGCGCTCACGCATGCTGACAAGTGGTGGCTGTCACCACCATACCAGTCCCATCTCTTCATCAGCTTGTCAGTGTCTTCCAGGAGCACCCCCCCCCCCCCCCGGCCAAGGCCGTGCCCCAAGTGGACAGGCAGCTCAAGTTACAGACAGCGTGGCCCAGAGCATGCTGACACCGATGGCCTCAGCTGGGTGTTGAGACCAGAATCTGCTTTGTGTAATGTGTCCGTGACCAAACCAGGAAGGCGGGCCCCGACCGAGCACTGACCCTGCTGGTTTGGATTGAAGTGGAAGCTGGAAACCCAGGGTAGAACAGCAAACGCTGAGAGCACAGGTGATGTAAGGCCAGGCTCCCCAATTCTCCTTCACACCAGCCCTGGGGCTCCTGGCACCGTGTTGCTAGGCAACAGCCCACAGGCAGAGGACCATCAGCAGGGGCCGGCTGCTTGGGGTGGGTTTGTTCTGCCTGCTGCTGGTCTGATGCCTGGTCTGGCGGAGAAGGGGCATTGCCTGTAGGTAAAAGAAATAACTTCTCCAGGTAAAGGCCAAAAGATATCCTTGACCCTGAGTCTGCCTTGGTGCCTACAATTCCACAGTTAAGAACAATTTGCTCTTAAGACTATGGTGTTAAACTTTTTTTGTGTGTGAGACTTTTGGTTCAAAGAAAATCTTAACTGAGACGAATCAACAAAGATTGAAAAGAGAAGAGTAAAAGAGACTGAAGAAATGACATTGCTCCATTACAGGTGGGGTGGGAATCCCGAATCCCTCCCACCCCCCACCCGTCAGAGGGGCTCGCTTTCTAAACCCCTGGAGTCAGGAGAATAATTTGAAAATTATTGTGTTAAAGTATTTCAGTCCCCTGTTAAAAAGTGAACAGACTTTGGCTGGTAAAATATTAAGCCATTTAAAAATGACTAACACATCATGACAGTCTAATGTTTTTTCTGTGTGTAGGAAGGTGGACAACAGACTCCTGAGAGGATCTGATGCAAGTTACAGACCCTATGCCCAGAAAAATGCACATAACTAAAATCTCTCCCCACACCTAAAATTCTGCATAAGAATTTGGGTTGCATGGAGGAAATGGTCCAGGGGCTGGAGATGAAGGACCCCCCCATCTCGTGGGAGATCGGTTTATCTGATTTGCTTCCAAATGGGATCAATATTTAAGTCCTGAGGCAAACAGAAAAGTGGGAGGAAACAGAGAAGATCCAGAGGAGAACCAGAATCTCGGGGGCAGAGCCCAGGACTCTATTTTTAACGTGATCGCCAGGTAGTGTGATGACCTGAGAGGCGTAGGTGTAGGCTGCAGAGCTCCGGGCTGGGGTGTCTAGGCCCGAGGGCTCAGGAGACCCTGCTACTGAGTCGGCAGTTTTCGGTTCTCGAGAGGCTGGGAAGGGAGGAGCGAGGAGGGAGAAGGCCTGTTGCCCTCCCCAGTCTGAGCAGCTGCAGAACAACAGGGAAGGTCCTGCGCCTTCCACTCCACCCTTCACAGCAGGACGAAGCAAGGTCACTATGCCCTGAGCCTCAGCCAAAACCAGAACCTGATTGAGGGCATTCTGAAAGCTAAAACAAAGCAAAGCAAAACAAAACAAAAACAAAATAAAACAGCAGTCCGAGAGACCATCCAGCCAGGGCTAGGCCTAAGAGAAAGTCTCGTGTTCAAATTCTGACATTCCCCGCCATTTCCCGAGTTCTGTGATAAGTTCTGGAACTCATTGCTCCCCGCTAGCAAAGGTCTAGCCTCTCCTTGGCAGTGGGGACGGTTGAGTGGGACCTGCTGCTGTCTGAGTCAGGTGCTTTCCAAGCAAAGAGGCATTTGCAACCGAGTCAGCGAACACCTGCTGGTCCCACTGTGTCAAGCTTGGGGTGTTGGCCTGGCCTGCCCCCACCTGGACATTGTCCCCAGAGGATCTGCTTTCAGGGACAGTGAGGAGACGTGGAAGAGCCTGCAGTTGGGGGAAGCAACCTCCTCCGGACCCCACCAAGGCCTTGAGCCAAAATCTGGGTTTCCTAGAAAGCCCGTTTCACTACCCGGGCCCTGTCCCAGCCAAGACCAACCCAAGTCATGTCGATCCCCTGCTTCCGTGGGTGGCTGGGCTTCCCGCAGCAGCAGCTCTGTGACTCTGAGACGCAGGATGTGACACCTGCCGCACTCTGCCATTCTGTCTGTGTGGCAGAGGTGGCAGGGGTTGTCCCCTCCCCACAGCTGTCGCTGGGCAGTGATCCTCAGCCCCATGGGGTTTTACTCAAGTGTATCCACCTGTCTGAACTGTACAGTTAGGATTGCGGATTTCAATGTGCACAGATGTCACCTTAAAAGAATGAAACCTATAAAAAATAACTTCGAGTAGGGAGACGTGAGGGGAGGTAAATGAGCAAGAATGGCAGAAATTGGTTAAGTATTGACGCTGGGTGGTGAGTACATGACGGGCATTATGTCGGTTTCTAATAATAGATATTCGAAATTTACCAAGTATAAAAAAGGAGACTTAGAAATGTGTGCTTTCTCAAGAAAATCTGTCTTCTTGATCAAAAATCTTAAGGAAACTCATACTCTTTAATTCTAGTAATTCTGCTTCCGGAAGTCTATCCCGAGGCAATAACCAGTGGTACGCAGAAAGTTGCACTGTAGTTCTACTTAAAATAAGGAAACACTAAATTCAATGTCCAACAACAGGCGAATGATCAAAGAAAGGGGAGCATGGGGCATCTGTAATAGTGTAAACAATAAAAACAAAGTTAAAAAAAGAGAAAGAAACCGCGGTGCCACCGTTAAAGACACAGGAGAGTGTTTGTGACCTACAGCATGGGACAGGAAGGTCAGAAAACATAACGACCTGCCACATGACCTTCACTTTGTTTTATAAGTGAAACGCTCTGCAAACGCCCAGCATGAGTGTGTTCGCGGGCAGGACACTGAACGCTCTCTGCGGCTTCACTCCGCCCTCTACTGCGTCCACGTGCTGTGAACGTCGTCCCTCATTCTTGCAGCGAAACCCTTTGGAGCACGTCAGTTTTAGACCCGGCACCCATCTCTGTGGAATTGCCCTATTTATGTCAGCATCCTCTGAGACAAGAAAAAGACTGGAATTACGAGGAAAAATGGGCCCCACAAGATGTTAGCCCAAGGTCCTGCTGTTCTTTCTTTCCTAGGGACACTGACATCTACACGCAAAGCCAAAGGTTCTCATCAAAAGTTAGGCTCACAGCTCCCCACGCTGCATCTCTTCCCTCTGGACGAAAGGGCTGAGTTTTCTGAGACTGTTCTGAGCTACACCCGACACAACATCTGGTACCTATAAGTTGTGGGCATACAATATGTACCGTATTTGCCATGTATAATGGGCACCCACATTTTGGTGTGCATAATACACAGGATTACTATACCCATTGTTATGCCCATGGTAGGTAATCATTATACCCATATATAATGCACATCCTTATTTTTCCTTCAAAAATGTGAGCAAAAAAGTGTGCATTACACGTGGCAAAACACGGTATTTGGTAAATATTTATAATAAAAGGAAAATAAAAATGACGCTCTACAGTTGTTCTCTTACCATCTTAAGTGTCTACAATGACAGACGGAGAAACATGTTTATCATATTCCCACAAGTCTGAGATGCCATTGCTTCGAAGGCACAGCAGGTTTTAGGCACCACAAAGGACGAGAAGGCTCTGTCTGTTAAAATACGACACAGTGCTTCCTCACTGTGTCGGCTGTAAGCCAAACACCTTGATTTCACAGGCGTTAAAATGGGAAAGAAACTGGCATCTCAGACCAGGTGAAATGCAGCACGTTCACCAATTCTGGAGGTAAAGCTTCTTCCTTCTGGTTCTGATGCGCCTGGATATTAATTGTCTCATTTTTAGGCTCAGCGCCTTGCATTCATACATGTTATGCAACAATGCTTTGATATGGATTGAATGGGGACATGAAATCTATTTTTCTTATGCATGTCATAATTCAAAGTAGTTCTGCACTTGACTATCATTTTAGAGCCGACTGTAAAAATTCATCAGAGCCAAATGAATTATGTGTTCTATTGTTTCTTACCAGATTTAAAAGGGTAAGTATTTAGGGGTGGTTGGCATATCCATTCTGTTTTCTTTCTCCCAAGCATTACTTTCTATTGTTGTTCTATTTACTGGCTGATCCTTTGCTGTTTTGTTGCTGTTACTTAGCTTATTCTTAGTGGAGGCAAAGCAACTGAACCGTGAGCTTCTCATTGCACGGAAAAGTCTGGCACGAGGGACCCACAGGATACAAGCACCTGCGTAGGCTAAATATGACGTTTTCTTAAAATGGGAGGTGGAGTACGTAGTCTTTCTGGGCAGAAGGGAGCATGAGGAATACAGGGAAAGAGAAAGGGCTTCTGTGACAATCCTTTGGAAATTCTTCATAGACCAGTCCTTGCTCATAAAGTCAACAGTTTGGGATAAGAAAAACTCCACCTGTTACTAGCCTCTTCTTTAGTTACCTTCCCATAATCCTCTGGTATATCAGGGCGTTCGTTACTTATTCACAACAGCAAAGAGAGCTGTGCCCCCAAAAAAAAGAAGAAGAAGGAGAAAGAAAAGAGAAAAAATGAAAGAGAAGGGATTTCTAATGGCTGGGTGCAGAGAAATGGTCCAAATTATAAGGGCTCCCATGATGCCTTGCTTTGCACTGGGCCCCAGGGCCCATTACTGTGTCAATGGGGATCAGTAGCCATGGCGCCGGGCAGGAAGTGGGTGAGACGCTGTTACTGCCTGGTCACTGCTAATGTGCCTGGTTCTGACTGTTCTCTCCCCTGCAGTCTGAGTACCACTACGAGTACACCGCGTGTGACAGCACGGGTTCCAGGTGGAGGGTCGCCGTGCCGCACACCCCAGGCCTCTGCACCAGCCTCCCCGACCCCGTCAAGGGCACCGAGTGCTGTAAGCAGCCATCCGGCTCCAGGACCACCCTGTCCCTCAGCTTCGGCCTCTACTCCAAGCCCCCTGCCATTCCAGCTAGACCCTTCCTAACTTAAGGAATCAGACCTCTCCCCCAAAGAGTCCCTATCCCCAACCCTTTAGAGATTTGGTGCACAAATGTTATTTCACAGATGCAAACTGGGATCTGAATTTTCTTGTTCTTTTTTTAAATTTAAGTCCCATTAGGGTATAGTGTATGAGTGACTCCAGCTGGGTGCCACTCAGATGCTTTCTGCAGTGTGCGTATATTTTCATTTTTGCCTGTGCATCTCTCCAGTCTACCCTCACCAGCCACAACTGGTCATTAGGAAAAATTGCAATTTGCATTTCATTCTTGAAAAGGGGGCCAGAGGAGATGAATCTCTGCAGAGACAGACCTTCAAAATGCGCTGGGTGTCACTTCGGGGCACAGGAACCTTCCTGACTGTGGAGGCAATGACTTGCCTGCAGTTCCCGTCCCCACCTCTGTGAGTCCGGAGTCAGGACTCCTCTGCGCTTGGCAGCTCATCCCCCACGCTGTTCTTTTTGGACGTGCAAAGGGGGCAATGGTAAAAAACCAGGGACCACAATCAAGGAACACTTGAAGATTTGGAAAGGAGACTGAGGGCATTTAAATTCTAAACTAAGCTGAGTCCAGTGCCCGGGTCAGTAAGTAGGCAAATAAACACGTGTCAAATGAATGAATGAATATAGCTCAGATCTGAGCAGAACTGAGGTGTGACTCACAGAAACAAGTGAGCCATCTTCAGTTAGCGAGGCCAACTTTATCAGCGGCCCCCCGCTCTGTGTGTGTATCTGCTCATTTCCCAGCAAACCCTCCTGGAGCTCCTGCTGTGTCTCTGTCAGCCATTGAGCCTCCATCCCTGGAGCAGCTCAGAGCCTTGGGGCAGGCTCCCATTAATGCAATGAGTTAGTACAAGGTGAAAAAGAGTGGGGGCTGCGGGTACTTCTTAGAGATCAGAACCACTTGAGCAAAAGTGTGGAGATAGAAGAAGAGGTGACAGGGGTGAAGGCAACACAGGCAGGGTGACGACGGATGGGGTCGGGGTGGAGAAAGGCCTGTAGCGGGAGATGCGCTGGAAAGTTAGGTTGGGGGAAGGTGCAGAAGACCAAGCCAGGCTGACAGCTTCGTTCCACAACCGAAGGGGCGGACCTGGTTGTTTTTTAAATAGCAGGAGGAACAGCACATGCCCGTGTTTTGGAATGATACTCCTGACCACAAAGGGAGCAGAAACAAGAAACAGGGAACTAGTCAGGAGGATGCTGCAGAGGTTGAGCGAACAGGCCATGGGAATCCCAACCAGCATGGTGGCAGTCGAACCAGAAAGGAGACAGAGGCCAGAGACTCGGGGGGAAAATTTAGGGCTAAAGGGCCAGTGCCTTTCAGAGGGGTCGTGACCCAAGAGACCACGGTACCCTCTTCCCCAGGGCGGTCTCTGAACGCGCAAGGCTACTCCCTTGGGAAACAACAGTGACAGGGACAAGCCCAAGTCCCTCAGGAAGGCAGAGCTTCCACAACCCTAACTCTTTTTTAAGTAACAGCTTCATTGTGATATAATCTACATGTCATAAAATTTACCCCCGAAAGCTGTAAAATTCACTAGTTTTTAGAATATTCACAGAGTCACATAACCATCACCACCCCAAGAGGCAACATCAAGTCCATCAGCCATCAGTCTTTCCCATGGCCCCTCCCCCAAGTCCCTGCCCTTCCGAACTTCCTTGTTGGGAGAGTCCCGGTTAATAGAATTGGACAAGACGTGCATGGCCCTAAATCTTAGTGGGCTGACCACCTAGATCTCCATCCTCTGCTCCTCCCTTCAGGGTGCCCACCACCTGTCCACTCACTTCTCCTGGGGCGGCAGCAGCCTCACAAGTCCACCCTTGTCCTTGCCCTGTGTTCCAGCCTTTTCCTGCAAAGCTGGGGAGTTTCTGGACATGAAGGACCAGTCGTGTAAGCCCTGCGCGGAGGGCCGCTACTCCCTGGGCACGGGCATCCGGTTCGACGAGTGGGACGAGCTGCCGCACGGCTTCGCCAGCCTCTCGGCCAACATGGAGATCGATGACGGCACCACTGCGTCCACCGAGAACTGCACTTTGTGAGCCGCCCCCTCCCTGTCCTCTCCTATCCGCTGCGCTCCCTCCTCCTGTGCTGGGGGAAGGGCTGCAGGGGGCACTCCCCTCCTGCTCTGCAGGCTGGTCAGGGAGGATGGAAAGAGGGAGCCAGGCTGTCAGGGTGAGGGCTGGAGCAGGTCGCCACAGCAGTGTTGGGATGGGACGTCCATCCACCTCAGCCCATTCACTGATCCAAGCTTCCTAGTGATGGACAGGCCTTTGTGACAGGCAAAAAAACATGGGTAAATAGTCCTGACCAGTGTGGCTTAGTGGGTTGGACATCATTCCACAAAGCAAAAGGTCATCGGTTCAATTCCTAGTCAGGGCACATGCCTGGGCTGCAGGTTCAGTCCTGATCGGGGCACATACAAGAGGCAACTGATCGGTGTTTCTCTCTCACATTGATGTTCTCTCCCTTTCTTTCTCTTTTCCTTCCCCTCCCTCTAAAAATAAATAAATTCAATTTAAAAAATCTCTGGGAAATAGAGGTAGATAAGATGGCCAAAGGTCAAATGACCCGGTCTATTTAAAACAAAGTCCAGTTGGAGTTCCACCATAGAATTCTGGATCAGCAAACATCCTCACCTTGACTGCAGCACTTGTAAAGCACCGGGCATCTGCCTGGCTTTGGTGCTGCCTTCTACCACTGGTCCGCCAAACCTGAGTTCATAGGTTTGGTGCTGGGAGGAGAAGCAGGACCAGAACTTCGGTCAATGGTGGTTGAGATCTTTCATATCCTTTGAGACCATGGTGCCCAGACAGTTTTCCAGCTCAGAAGGAGATCTTTCCAATAATTGAGAAGCTCAGCCCAGGGTGCTTGGAGAGCTAGTGAACTCTCCTTGTCAAAATCTCTGGATACATCACTCCAGGGGTAGGAGTTAAGTGATGCGCCTCCCGTTGTTCAGCGCTATTCTGGATGCTTTGCCCATATTATTTTCTATTACCTTCATGAGAGAGGACCCTGTGAAGAAGGTGTGATTGTTCCCATTACACAGAGCAGGGAATGGAGGCTCAGCCAGTGAGGTTAAGGGACTCGTTCTATGTTGCCCAGCCCACAACTTGTGAGACTGCAATCACACCTGGTCCCAACCTTCCTACTGCCCCAAGCTGCTACCTTCAAATAATTCAGTGAGCACAAGGCAATGTTGGCCCCAGGGGAGAAGCGTGGGGGGGATGCATAGATGTCAAAGACAATCGTACACTGCTCTGTGTTATATACTGACAAAGAATATGGCAGAAAGTACATACATTATGCCGAGGCAAAGGAAAGGACAGGAATTAATTGTATTACACTTGGATTTCTCACACTGGGAGCAGTGTCTCCCATTCTGTACTTTAATCTCCTAGAAATACCACTGGCAGAGCCAGGCAACAGGCATTGCATAGTCTGAGTTCACTACTCTGTTAGAATCCAGATTATGTGTCAAAATCATCAGCATGAAGACACTGGCATCAGAGACAAAGCTAGAGAGGATTAACACTGGAAGGAGAGGGAATGTTCGGGTTAAGACAGACACCCCCACCTGGGTCCCAATAGAGGACGTGATTGACCCGACCGAGGGGCAGGCCCGGCTCACTCTGTCAGTTCCCACCCAAGGAAGAAAGGGTCTCTCTCTGGGGACCACACTAGAAGTCCGGAAATCTCAGCAAGGCAGGATGTGGGCTGGTTAATAAAATAACGCGTGTTTCCACTGCACAGATTCGGAAGGGCCCGGGTCTCCAAGCGTCTATGACATTCCTAGGAGAGGGGAAGGATGTTTCTTCTCTGTAGAAATGGGCAGGAGGCAGCCCTCCAAGGAGGTTTTGTGACTTCCTCACCATCCCGCAGAAAGGCAGTAACTAGGCACCGAGATACCAAGTGTCTGGTACGTGGTGAATCCGTGTCCACTGCCTCCAACCTGACCCCCGCCAGCGTCGCCTGCTGCCTGCTCTGCCTCTAACGCCCCCCAGCCAGTCTTCCTTCCACACGCAGCCTCTGCCCGGCCACTGTCCATTCAGCAGCCAGACTGATCTTTTTTATTTTTTTAAGATTTTATTTATTTGTAGAAGGGGAAGGAAGGATCAAAGAGATGGAGAGAAACATCAGTGTGAGAAAGAAACATGTGCACCCCAACTGGGGACCAAACCAGCAACCCAGCCATGTGCCCTGACTGGGAATCAAACTGGCAACCTTTTGCTTTGTGGGATGACGCCCAACGAACTGAGCCACACAGGCCAGTGCCAGACTGATCTTAAAACACAGATCCAATCACAGTACTTTCCTGCTGAAAATGCTGGATTCTGTGGGTTCCTATTGATCTTCCAATAAAACCCAGCGCCTTGCCACACCTGCAGGCCCCATCTGGCCTCTGTCCATTTCTCCGACCTCTCTCAGGACCTCCCCTCTTGCTTGCTGGGCTCTGGCCACGCGGCCACCATGCTCCGTCCCTCCTTGGGCCCTTCGAACAGACCTCGGGGCCACTCTTCTCCCACTCTTCTCCTAGCTTCTTTTTCTCCCTCAGGCCTCTGCCCACACGTCCCTTCCTCAAAGGAGCCAGCCCTGACCCCACTGACTCCTAGTACAGCCTTGCATCATCTCGAGTTTCTCCGAATGGCACTTTTCACAGTTACTACTAGGTGATTCATTATGTGATTAGTTAAGGTTCGGTCTCCTCCACGATAAATAGAATGCAAGCTCCAAGAAGGAGGGGGCCAGGTCTGTCTTGGTTTTTTGTTGTATGTCCACCATCTAACATCTGGCACAAAGGCAACAAGAAATAAATAACTGGGGACAAAACAGGCCAATCCAACGCGTTTCCAATGGAAGGATCCTGCACTTTCAGGGGCTCCTCCTTGGTCCCTGGATGCATGTTCCAGGACCAAGGGGCTGGAAGCAGTCCTCAGACCCAAGACTGGGACAAGCAAGAGGGACTAGGAGAGAAGGAGGAGCGACAGGGCAGGGCTGTCGTGTGTCAGCGGAGAGGGAAAGACGGAAGCCCAAGGAGTGGGAGGATGAAACAAGACAGAGAAAGAGAGATGTAAACGTTAGGAAGGGCTTCAGACACTGGAAGCCTCCGAAGTTTTCCTCTACAGTTTCTTCTGACTTGGGCTTCTGAAAGAGTGCTACACAGCGAGAACCAGGCCGGTGTCTGGGTGGCCTCCACGTGAGAATTCCTCTTAGAAAACCTGCCTCTTCCCCCAGGGCCATGGCAAAACGAAGCAGGTATGGGCAGGCCACAGCTAACTGGCCGAGAGCCAGTTTCCCAAGCACTTCCGTGCCTCGGTTTCCTCATCTTAAAAAATCGAGCTCCTCTCCGAGGCCGTGGTAAGGACGAAATGAGATGGCAGGTGGGAAGCATTTGGAGCCACGCCCGGAACTAGAAGTCAATGGCGCTGCGCTGTTCCTGCTGAATGTGAAATGATCCTCACCAGGCACGGCTCTGACAAACACCAGAATGGCGGTGCACTTTGCAAATGTCACCCACTTATGACATCCTTTTAATTATTCATCCACCTTCGGGAGTTATTTATAGCTGATGCCGCGGAGCACGTCCGCATGGTCTCTGTTAATGGAAGAAGTCAGCACCACTAGGTCAGCTGGTGTGTCCCGGGGGGCTCAGCACAGGAATTCTGCACGTGCTTCCGCTCAGGAATGGCATTAACCATTGAAGAACCATTGAAGAGCTGGACATGCCACGTTATTCTGACAGACAAAGGGGAAACCAGCAGACTGAGGTCCCCTTACTGGGGCCTTATTAATAATTGGAGACCTGGCTGGTGTGGCTCAGTGGATTGAGCGCGGGCCTGCGAACCACACGATCGCGGTTTGATTCCCAGTCAGGGCACATGCCTGGGTTGCAGGCCGGTTCCCTGCAGGCCAGTTCCCAGCAGGGGATGCACAAAAGGCAACCATACATTGATGTTTCTCTCCCTCTCTCCTTCCCCCCTTCCCCTCTAAAGATAAATAAATAAAATCTTTAAAAAAAAATTGGAGACCAGAGCTGGTTTCAAACTAAACAGTGACTTGGTGGGGGCATAATGTGGGGGCATCTCTTCTTGGTTCCTTAGTCAGGAGGTCATGCTCTTTTTTTTAAAGATTTAATTTATTTAGTTTTGGACAGAGGGGATGGGAGGGAGGAAGAGAAGGAGTGATACATCAGTGTGTGGTTGCCTCTCACATGCCCCTCACTGGGGACCTGGCCCACAACCCAGGCCTGTGCCCTGACTGGGGATCGAACCGGTGACCCTTTGGTTCCCAGGCCCGCCCTCACCGAGGCACACCAGCCAGGGCTGGAGGTCATTCTTTACTGAGCATTTTCAGGTGTAAGCTTCTGCTTACCCACAGGTCCAAGTGGGTTCCGCTGGGCGACTACATCGCCTCCAACACGGACGAGTGCACGGCCACACTGATGTACGCTGTCAACCTGAAGCAGTCGGGCACCGTCAGCTTCGAGTACTACTACCCAGACTCCAGCATCATCTTCGAGTTTTTTGTAAGCCCCTGGCCAAGGGGGAGGGCGGGGGGCAAAGACTCTCCACGGCTCAGACTTTCGCAGGAATCACCAGCGCAGTGCTGCTCGGGGAATTTCCACGGTTGTGTTGTCTCTGGAGAGAACTGTGGGCAAAATGCGCTGAGGCTTCAAGAGGCAACGGACTCCAAGGGGGAAGCGCAGAGTGCGGGAGGTCCTCGGGTTTTCCCTGCTCAGACGTGAAGGTGTGTTCAGGCATATGACGTCCCTGCTCACGCATGTGACGGCTCCTCTGAGTTACAAGCTGTTTCTGTGTGTGTGAGACAAGCTCCCGCCCTCCGTCACGGCTGTGTGCTTGGAGCTCTGGTTCCTAGAGGGAGGGGCAGCTCTTCTCCCACAGGAGGGGGTCTCTGGAAGGCTGCCGCAGCAGGGGGAAGGGACCCATTGCCTTAGAAGGCTGAGACTCTGATCCCAGACTCCTGCTGCCTCAGGTCCAGAACGACCAGTGCCAGCCCAGTATGGACGACTCCAGGTGGATGAGAACCACGGAGAAAGGCTGGGAATTCCACAGTGTGAGTACCACGCCGGCCTTCTTGTGCCCTTGCCTGGAGATGCCAGCCTTTCCCAGAAACCCCAGAGAAGGGGCCACGGGCCTGTCCTCCAGGGAGGGCTTCCTCCCAGTCTGGCTTCCAGCCCTCTCCCTGGAGGACAGGGGTTGACACGGTGAGGAAAGTATTAGTTTCTCTCCTCTTGAGCTGGCGTAATATGGATGTGGGCTGACGTGTTGCTCTGATGGCTTGATCCCAAGGGTCGGCAGCTTTCTGGCTTTAAGGACCCAGTCTTCTGGGGGTGGGGGAGGGGTGGACGAATAGAACCAGAGAAGAGTGAGGGACTCCCAGCCACCCTATGGTCAGTACCTCCCCGTCCCTCCATCGGTCTCACCATGGAGATGCCCATGGTGTCTGTGACTGAGGGAGAAGCAGGGAAGGGTGGGAGGGGACTGTAGAGGAGGCTTAGAAGGACGGAGGGGCTGAGCCAAGATGGGAGGAAGGGTAAATCTGAAGGACTGAGGGGGGATCAGAACAGGCACTGCCATGCAGACCGGAGGGGCGGGGGTCCCAACGAGAGGCTAATCCAGGGTTTTAGGAGTGTCTGTCTCTGAGGCTGAGCTAACTCCTCCTGTCCGTGGTTTCTAGGTAGAGCTTAATCGAGGCAATAATGTCCTCTACTGGAGAACCACAGCCTTCTCAGTGTGGTCCAAAGTTTCCAAGCCTGTGTTGGTGAGAAACATCGCCATAACAGGTATGGAGAGCGGGCTGGGGTCTGTTGCCGAATTTCTGGCCTGTGACTCTTCAGGGGGAGGATGGGGGTCAGTCCCCAGGGGCCTCAGTCTCTAGGCTCAACTTTTGCTTCCCTGTGTTCTTCCTTCCCAGGGGTGGCCTACACTTCCGAATGCTTCCCCTGCAAGCCCGGCACGTACGCAGACAAGCAGGGCTCCTCTTCCTGCAAAGTTTGTCCAGAAAACTCTTATTCAAACAAGGGAGAGACTTCTTGTCACCAGTGTGACCCTGACAAATACTCAGGTGACGTTTCCGAGGGCAGGGAGGGTTTGGTGGGGGATACCAACCGGGAGAAACAGGAAGTAAAGCCGTGCTCTGGTCAAGCTCTTGATTAATAATTCTTTTTTTTTTAAATCCTCACCAGAGGACAGGCTCACTGACCTTAGAGAGAGGAGAAGGTAGAGAGAAGTATCATGTGAGAGAGAAACATTGAGGGTTGCCTCTTGCACGCACCCTGACCTGGGACAGAACCCGCAACCTAGGCATGTGCCCTGACCAGGACTGACCAGGAATTGAATCGGTGACCTTTTGGTTTATGGGACGATGCTCCACCCAACGGAGCCACACCGGCCAGGGCCAGACTGATATTCTTAAGCTCTTGCTTTCGCAGTCCTGGGAGAGCCTTGCCAATCCACGTCCCACCAATCACTCTGGAAGTAAAAATGAAGTCATTTGAGAGGCATTTATTGAGCCCCCACTAGTTGCCAGGTGCTATTCTAGGTGCTTACAGGTGAATATATCAGTAAATGAAATAGACAAAGCACCCTGTCTTCATGGAATTTACAGTCTGGAGGGGGTAAGACAGACAACAAAAAATAACTGACCAGAAATAATAAATATATAAAAATGTATATCAGGTGTTAGACTGTAAAAAGTTCATGGCAAAAAGGGAAAGCAACTCGGGGTCAGAGGACCTAGGTGAGACAAGGAAAGGGGTTGCCATCTTTTTATTCTTTAAGCAATAAATTTCTTCAAATGAAACCTTACACATTATGAGATTATAAGCGATAAAGTGGATAAAGGGTGTATGTATTATCAAAGGTAATTTAGAAGAGCTGTGAGGCTGTACTAATGAACAAGACACTTTAGGAACAAGGGCTAAAGATGGCGGTTACAACTGTTCATCAGCCTGAGCATCCACTGGCTTTGAGGTAGGACTTCGTAGAAAGTCCAGGGTTCCTTGGCACACAGCTTGAAAACCACTGTTCTAAGGGAAGCGGCCTATTTCTACAGTCTCCTGAGAGGTTCCCGAAGCTTCCCAGCTCAAGAAAGGGGACTTGGTCATTGGAAGGCGTTTCGGGGGCAGCAGGGCTCTGGCATTGGATGGGCAGTGCTCCCAGACAGCCCTGGGCTCAAGGGGGCCAGTGTCCAGGTCAGGCTCTGAAAAAACTGTGGAGTTTGGAGTCGGGAGAAGGAGTCCCTTCTCTCCCCCTGCAAACACTCATAGCCATTTCATTTCTTCTCTCCTACACAGAGCCATACACAACCCCAGCTTTAGGCCCTCTTAACACAGGTGCACAGCATGTGTTTGCTCAGCCAAGACGCTCCATTGATCTTTGAACCGCTCATTTTTACACAATTCCTAAAATAAAAACCCTGTTTATCTATACAGATCTTGCCAAAGGAGTGTAGATTTCAGCAAGAACAGGGATGTTTAGATCTTGGGGGAAGTCTTTATCTGTAAGTCTAAATTCCTGTTCGTCTACTTCAATTTCTTATTCCTCTTCCCCGCTCCGTCAATGGCAGCCTTTGTTAGTCTAAGTCTCCGGCTCCCTCTCCCAGCCCAGCTGTTGCACAAGGCTTTGAATGGCAAGCTGGTTCTGTATTTTGATGGACTCTCTGTAAACTGGTTTTTATCCAGAGAGCTGTTATGAAAGTGTTAGGCTGGGAGTCTGAGTTCTTGGAGTTTGTTCTCCTCCTGCCGCCAATTTCCCAATCCCTCCCTTTGGCTGGGGAACGAGGAAGCACATGGTGAGCTTGCTGACCGCCTCACCAGCAAGGGGTACAAAGAGAGTCACATTTCTCCGGGACTTGACTCATCCAGAATGCAGCATCAGTGGGAAGCTGGGAAAATGCAGAGAAGGTCTGATGACAGCTTATGGTGGCATGTGCATGAAGGAAGTGACAGAAGACCCTGTGACCATTTAGTCACCCACTTAGAACTAAGTCCTGGGGGCCAGCTAGGTGCCAGGGCTTGAGCTTGGCGGTAAGGTTAGAGCTGGTACCCGCCTTCCCACTTAGCTGCAAAGGAGAAACATGGTCATAGGAACATCTAAGTGTAGTAACGTCACAGTGTAGGAGGTGCTGGGGTAGGAGCGCTGAGCGTCAGGTGCCGTGGAGGCAGAGAAGGGAAGTGGTCATTCCACGGGGAGGGACGAAAGGCTTCCCTGGCTTTGGTCCCGAGAGATGAGCTGAGTCCTGAAAGAGGGCAGGATGTTCTGGAAGAAGTGTGAGCCGAGGCCAAAAGGCTCAGGGAACTCTAAGTAACTAGTGTGGCTGCGGCTCACTCGGAGGGAGGGCACATCCAGGGCTGAGAGGTGGGCAGGGAACAGATTACGGTGCAGTCCTCTGTGCCATTGCTCAAAAATTGAGATTTCATACTTTCAGCAGTGGGTGGGAGCCATTAAGGGTTTTTAAATTAATTAATTTATTTATTTTTAGAGAGAGGGGAAGGGAAGGAGAATGAGTAGGAGAGAAACATCAATGTGTGATTGCCTCTCATGTGTCCCCTACTGGGGACTTGGCCTGCAACCCAGGAATGTGCCCTGACTGGGAATTGAACCAGCGACCCTTTGCTTCACAAGCACATGCTCAGTCCTCTGAGCTATACCAGCCAGGGCTGCCATTAAGGAATTTTAAGCTGGGGAGTGACATGACCTGGCTTGTGCTTTGGAAGGACCACTCTGATTGCCGTTTGGAGAATGGATGAGGGACAGACTGGCTGGCTGGAGGCAGAGGTCCTGGCTGGGAGGTTTTGCAACAAGCATGAGTGCTGGCGCCCAGGACCTTGGCTAAAAGCAGAGCCACTGGGTGTGGGGATGTTAAGGACAAAGCCTTGACTGAAAGCATCTTCTCATTGATAGCTAAAATTTGATTATTAGGATTAACTCCTTTGTGTTACATTTAATATCAGGGATCCATTTCCTAAGAGAACAGCATGGGACTTAAAAGTGTGGACCCCAGAACGGCATTACTATGGTTTGAATCCCTGCTCCGTCACGTGCTAGCTGTGTCACCTTGGGCAACTTATTTGTCTGGGCCTCAGTTTACTCATCTATCAAATGGGCTGACAATAATCATCTCTACCTCACAGTGTTATTGTGTGGATGAAATAATACAGATAAAAGACTAGCACAGTGCCCAGCATTTACTAATTCATTTACATGAAGACCTGTCCCAGAAGTCCCCTGCCAATACAAAAACACTGTTGGCACAGATAATAATAATACATCACTCATACAGTGCTTTACAGTTCACATGGTGTTACCCCATTTACCACTCACAGCATAGTACAAGAGTGACTTCCCCACTTACCAATGAGTAACGAGCAGCTCAGACAGGTTCAGGACTCCGCCCAGTCTGGGCTGGAGTCTGAGCTGGGCCATGTGTTCATCAGGTACTCACATCCTCACGGTAAATGTTTTCTTTTGGTAAAATGGATCAGAATGAGGACGCTGTACTCCTGAAGGTGGGGGGCAGGCGCGGTAAGGAGGAGGAAGGTGCGGAAAGAGTCCCCAAGATTAACTTAAATTCTGAGAGTTTCGGCCAAGGCCAGTCCTACAGAAATCACTTTTCATTTTCTCGAACATCTAGGCCAAGCTTTTAAACTTGACTAGCACCGACTTAAATACCATGAGGAAACCCAAGCCAGGCAGGTGAGGTCTGCCTCAGGGTTTGGGTTAATCATTTATTAATGCTGTCTTGGCAGCTGCTGCTGTGTAAACAGCTGGACCATTTCCGCTGAAACCTGGAGCTAGCATGTGGGGTTGAGCAAATATTTGACCAGCAGAGGAAGGCCCCTGAGTGGAAGGCACTTTCTAACAGGCAACTTGCAATTTGCTAGACCTGATATGCAAGGTCCTGGAAATTGGTGTGTTCTCAGCATCTCCCCCCAACTTTCTCCTGACCAAGTCGGTCAAAGGCAGGAGTCCCTGACTTCTCTTGCTGAGTTAGGCCTTCTGCTGTTAACCAAGTCAATGAGCTGAGGAGACCCCAGCTGTTTCTCAGCCAGTAGTTCCCTCTTGCCCAAGCTCATAAGACAGGGGCAGAAGAGGCGCAGGGATGCGTGGCCCCTGTGCAGGCCAACATGGTGGTAACTGGGAGATGTTCTGATCTAGGAACCCATTTGGTGCCTTGGGAAGAAGAAGAGGTCAGTTGGGAAATAAGCCTTTAACTGGAAGGGGGAGAAAGAGACTTTTAATCCTTACTAAAAATCCCATGACAGTTACCAAATACAAGTAAACCCCACAAACCCAGGCAAGTAAGAGTTACTAGCACTTAGTGAGTTCCTACTTACAATGTTCAGGGTACACTGGCTCCACCCAAGGAGGTACTGTTACTCCTGCTCACCATCTGAGAGCTCTCAGGCCCAGAGAGGTCAAGCAACTTGCCTAAAGTGGCAGAGCTACTAAATGATTAAGTGGGATCCAGACCCAGGTCTGACTTAACTCCTCCTTCCACTCCGCCATATGCTGGTCAGGCAATAGAGTGAGGCAGTCTCCTGTCATCAAACACTGACCTGCAGGTGACACTGCAGTCACCTTGGGAGTAGTGGTGACAGCAGTAGTACTAGTATTGTACTGGCATTCTCTAAAGCAGGGATTCTTATTCTGGGGACAGGAAATTCCTTGGAAATTTAATGCATGAGTGATAATATATTTTTCTGGATAGAGAAAACAGGCCTTTTTTTTTTTTTTTTTCAAATTCTCTAAGGGGTGCATAATTTTAAAAAAGTGAAATCCATTGCTTTAAAGAGGGATTCATGGAACTTATTCTTGCTCTCCAGGTGTTTATAGGGTTAAAGCAGAACTAACCCAGACATGAGGAGCATGCGGAGAGCAGAATAAATAAAACAGTTTTTCATCAGGTGCAGAGAGTGCTGGATGCTTGGCGGGGGGCCGAGGGGAGCGGAAGGAAAATATTAAGAGAAAAGTCAGGGGAGAAATTAGAATAGGAGCATGAAGACACTGTCCTAAGCTCTCCTGTTTCACTTCGATCCCTCAGGAGTAGAAACCACACACAGTCGGGATTCCGAGGCGCCTGGAAGGTGGCAGGTTCAGGGAGCTTGGGTTGGTGGTGATTAGTGTGGGATGCAACCCGCCTCCAGGCTGGTCCTCCAGCCAGTGCACTTCTCCACAGTGCGGCCCAGTGGTTTCTCGGCAGCAGCAGGGAGGGGTGCACAGGGCTAACTGAGCCTGGTTTTAGGGACTGTAGATTCTGCCACTGAGGCCAAGGGAAGGGTCAGTGTGCAGGCTTTTCCGCTCTTGCCAATACCTGCATGTGCCATACCCCAGGGTCTGGGGGTCCCCTGCGTCGTGACCGAGTGGTCAGGAACTCTGCTTTCCTATGTAACTTTGAATGTTTGTCCTTGCCTTTGCGATTTAGAGAAAGGATCCTCTTCCTGCAAAACACGCCCGGCCTGCACAGACAAAGACTACTTCTACACACACACAGCCTGTGATGCCAACGGAGAGGTGGGTGGCACGGCCTCGGGCCCCTCGGCTCGCACCCTGGGCTTTGCCACACTTGGAGTTTCGTTGGCCCCTGAATCTGGCACCAGAGAAAACCCCAGAGACCTACAGGGTGACTCGGGGGCCCATGGCGGCAAAACCAGATGGCCTCACTCATTGTCAGGCCAGACACTGTTTTGCCGCATTTTCCGCCCCCCCAGTTTCATAGGCTCTGTTTCAAAAAGCCGTTTCATCTTCTTTCAATTTCTTCCCTTTGCTTAGTTCCCCTGGACAACGGCCGCCTGCCCGTGCACACCTGTCTCCTAATGGGACTCATCATACTTGCCCCTCCTCCTGGCTCACTCTCTGTGGGTTCCCTCTCCCCACCAGGACCTCCGCCTCAGAAAGGCCTTCATTTGTAGTCTGTGTGTGCTGAGGATGAACCGCTGTGCCGGGCGCAGAGCTCCAGAGGGGAATCAGAAACTCTAAGGCAGGCCCCAGTCCTCGGGGATCATGGAGGCAGGAGAGAGATGGGCCTGAGCAAGGCAACAAGATGTGAGGGGTGCTGGGGACGCCGGCAGAGGAGTGACCAGGACACCCCAGGCAGGGAAGGCCTCTCTGAGGGGGTCCTTTGTTCAACAGTCAGCCACTGTGCTAGGCACCAGGTACTCAGCAGGTAACCACACCAAGGGAACGCCTGCTCTCAGGGAGCTGAATTCCCGTTGGGGAGAAAGTGCAGAGAGACACCTGCGGGATAACAAAGGGGTGTGCGGTATGTCAGGTGGTAATAAGTGGTAGGAGGAGGAATAAAACAGGATCAGGAGAGAGAGAATGACAGAGGGTGGAGAAGCTATTTTAGAGAGGGCAGGGATGACCTCTCCGGGAGGTGACACATGAACAGGGACCTGAATTGGGTGAGGGGGCAGCCGTAGCTGTCTAGGCGGAGGGCACAGCCGCGGTGGAGGAGGCAGGCTTGTGCTGTGAGTGCCAGGGCCAGCAGCCAGTGAGCAGGGACCCGGCCCAAGGGCCGCTCTGTAGGGTCCACCTCGGGTCAGACGCTCTGATGAACTGTCTGCATCTCTGAAGCACGGCTTCTCCAGAAGAGAGAATTAGGAGTCAGAAAATCTGCATTCAGCACCCAGCACAGACTTGGCTATTAGCATGCATCAGCATTTGCTGGCTGGCTGGCTGAATTCTTCTGCTAACTGAGCGGAGGATAAAGGCTAGTCCTTAACAGTGATTATTTTTCACAGTCATCTCTCATCCCCCACCCCCCAGCCCCACCCTCATGGTTGCAGCATCATCTCCTTCCTCAGCAGACAAGTGAGAAAGGCTACATAGCTTAGCAGCTGCACCTCAGACTCAGGCAGGTCGTGTCTGGTGTTCTGTGTGACCTTGCAAAATGGTCATTTTCTTGGCCTCAGTTGACTCACTGATCACATGAGGACAGTCTTCTTCTCCTCTCCAGGCACATCATGTGGCTGAAGGTGGATGTCTTTCCTCCCCTTCTGCTCCACTCCCTCCCCTCCCACTTGAGCCCAGGGCTCCTCTCCTGCCCACTGACCTGATGGCTGTTCTTCTTCCCCAACCCCGCCCCACCCAGCATTATAGAGCTGTGACTGCCGTGTAAAGCTGTGTAAGTTTAAGGCGTGCAGCATGTTGATCTGATACACTTACATTACTGCAAAACAATGACCAGTGTGGTGTTGGCTAACACCTCTATCACATCACGTAATTAGTTAGCCTTTCCTCTTTGCGGCGAGAACACTTAAGATCAACACTCTCGGCAACTCTCCAGTCTACAAACAGTGTTACAAACTGTAATCACCGTGCTGCACCTTACGTCCCCAGAACTGCGTGGTCTTGTAACTGCAAGTGTGTGCCCTTTGACCAGCACGGCCCTTCCTACCCCGATACCCCAGGACATGGTGCCCACACCCCATGTGGGTCGTTATCACTGAGTATGAGCCTGTTGCCCTCGCTTGATGGTGAGCTCCCAGAGGGCAAGGGCCATGCCTCTCCCATCCACTTGGCCTCTCCCCTTCCTGGCCACCAGGTCTGGCACAGAGACGTATTAGCGTTCTATAAATGTCCACTGAGTTAACGAAAAAGCAAAGAAAACACCCAGAAGACAAACAGGGATACCTTAGCCACCCCCTCTTTCCCCAGGGCTTATGTAGGCCACCCCCGCTCCACGCCTTTGGTGCTCTGGGGTTTTACCAGCCACCATCACTGTGGCCTTGGCAGTAATAAGATTCCAAATGGGAATCAGAGCTTCCTCCGGAGACAGTGGGTGCCCCACCCCCGTCACACGAGTCCTCATTAGGTATGTCCCTCTGCATCCAGTCGACATGCACGCAACACGCATGTATTGAGCACCACCACATGCCAGAACTGGGCCAGGTGCTTGAGACACATCAGTGACTAAAACGAAGATTCCCACACTGGTGGCGCTTTCAAGACAGCCCAGAGTCTCCCCGCCCCCAAGGTAACCTTTCCTGAAGGTGTGCTAAGGTGCGCAGGGGCTGAGCCACTGGTCTTGATCTGTTTCTGCAGACACAGCTCATGTACAAATGGGCCAATCCGAAAATCTGTGGCGAGGACCTTGAGGGGGCGGTGACGCTGCCCGCCTCCGGCGTGAAGACCCGCTGCCCGCCGTGCAACCCTGGCTTCTTCAAAACCAACCTCAGCACCTGCGAGCCCTGCCCTTATGGGTCGTACTCCAACGGCTCCGGTAACCCCTTCACCTCCTGCGACCTGTACCTCATCCATCCCACATCACCCACAAGAGTGGGCCTCGCGGGTGCGCAGGGTGGTCAACTGCCCTCCCGAGGGAAGCGGAGAGGGCCAGGCGGCCCGAGGCCTGAGCTGGGGAGAAGAGCAGTTGGGGTGGGCTGTGTCTGTGAGTCACCATCATACAGGAGCACTGCCTGCTCTCCTCACCCCGCCTGCAAGGGGACTCGGGCCTGCAGGTGCCCTTCCTCACCGCAGGGGCCTCCAGCGTGCGGCAGGGATGCTAACCAGAAGGTCTGGGGAGCTGGGACGGACAGCTTGATGCACACGGGCCTATTGGCCATGCTGCAGAGAGCAGTTAGGGGGAATCTGTGTGCCTGTTCATATGAATGCATTTACCGCTCATAGGTGACCAATAACTTGAACTATGTGGATCAGGCTAGAAGATACATTTAAGTTTTGAAAGAAAAAAGTAGGTGGGCAAGGAGGAAAGCTGGAACATGGGAAGGAGGGGTCAGTGCTTGCAGGCCGAGCTTGTTCAATGCACTGCCAGGGTGCTTCTGGTTAACTGGATGGAACTACACAGTGGTGCTCAGCACCACCTTGTCTGGCTGCCCGTGACTGTTGCCACTCATCTGGGTAACAGCGGCTCCAGTCAGGGGGCCACAGCCACCTTGCTGAAGGCCTGGATCTTGTGGTCCCCCCAGATTGTAGCCTCTGCCCAGCTGGGACGGAGCCTGTTGTGGGATTCGAGTACAAATGGTGGAATACACTGCCCACGAACATGGAAACGACCGTTCTCAGTGGGATCAACTTTGAGTACAAGGGCATGACGGGTAAGGGCCTCCCCCTGACCTCTCACCCCAGCTCCCTGCATGCCCACGGACTAGTGGTGTCTGCAGAAGGGAGCTGAGCAGGCCACACATTCCCTGGAAAGTTCCACTCCACGTGGGCAAATGTTCTGCCAAATCTGTGTCAGAGACAGAAACTGAGCCAGAACAGTGAGCACATGTCCCAGAGGCCTTGCGCTGAGAGCTTCAGGGCTTTTGACTACAGTGGGGGCGGGGTGGGTGCAATGGGGCCTCTGTGCGGCAGTGGCTCTGGGTGCCTCAGAGGATGTTGTTATCTCCCCAGAGCGTCCTATGGGTGCATGTTTGCCCTGGGCCCGGCACCCCTGGGGTGCTTACTCTGTGCTGTCCTTCCCCAGGCTGGGAGGTGGCCGGTGATCACATTTACACAGCCGTCGGAGCCTCAGACAATGACTTCATGATTCTGACTCTGGTTGTGCCAGGATTTAGGTGAGGAGTACAAAGCCAGAGGAAAGCTCGCGCCACACTGGCCATGCCCACGTCCCACGCACCCTGGAACATGGTGCGAGAGGGTTCTGGCCTGCGGGGGAGTGGGTTCAACAAGGGGGCCTGAACCTGCCCCTGCTGCCTGCCCACCCCTTTCCCGTCCCTCTCCCGTCCCCTCTGGCTTCTTCCCTTAATTGGCCACTTGCCACTTAAACTTTCCCTGCTCACAGCACCAGATAAGATTTTTTAAAATTATTGTTGAATAGGGTCTGAAGTGCCTGTAGACAGTTCATCTTTATTTGGGGCCAGAAGACTGAGAGGGGTCATTCTTACTGTCACATTTGTCCCCTTATTCCGAGAAGATCTACACAATAGCAGTGTGTTCACCACTTAAGAAAATACTGCAGATGGTTGGTTACAGACAGTGTGGGACGGTGCAACGAGCCCTGGACCGGGAAACCAGGCACTTGAACTTCACCACCTACTGGCTTTGTGACCTGAGGAGGGTCCCCGGGCCCCTGTAGGCTTCAGGTGCCTGGTCAGTGAAGTGAGGGGGACCAGCCGTCTTGGACTCTGGGCTAGCTCGGGTTGGGACAGTGCTCCCAGTCCGTTTGTTAGCATAGCTGTGCAGAGGGGAGCTGGGACCCGGAGGTCCTCAGAATTCAAGAAATGGCCAACGCCAGAAAACAGCCACAAACAGATTTCAAAAACCAGAGTGAACTCTTCTGCCCACGTGCACTTAAAACACGAGGGGGGACCACTGCGCGGGCAGCCCGATTGCCAGTCTGGCTCCTCCGTTCCCTCCTTCAGCTCCCTCCTTTCCACCCCTGGGACGGTGCTCAGGCCATGCTAGTGGCTTGGAAGGTATTGATTTCCCTTCCTTTCCTTTATATCACTCAAGGCTGAGAGACACATCCCATGTTTGATATGTTAAGAACATTTTTTAGGCTTTTGGAGGTGATGTTCCCAAAAGTACTTTCCAATTTGCAAATCTCATCACCATAGTAAAGGCTTCCATACCTCACCCACTCACCCCCCACCCCTACCCTCCTCCACCCCCTTAGCTTTGTGCCTGGCTCTCTCTTCCCCAAAGGAAGGACCAGCCTGAGACCTTTGCCGAAGAGGCTACACGTTGAAATATCTGCTCAGTCAACCCAGGCAAAGCTCCCACTGTCCCATGGAATGAACTGCTAAGGGGATGTAGACAATTTACATCTTATGAGAGTGGTGCTTCTCAAACTTTAATGTCCATCTGCATCACCCAGGGATCGTGTTAATGTGCAGATTCTGATTCAGGGGGCTTGGGGGGGGGGCTGGGGTTCTGAATGTCTAATAAGCTCTAGGTGATGGTGATGCTGCTGGTTTGGGGACCACACTCTGCTTGGGGGGCTATATTTTACACAGCACTTCCACATCTGTTGTGGCCTTGGACCTCACCACAATGACGAGAAGTGAATGAGGAAGATATTATTATGTCCATCTCACAGATGAGAACACTACAGTTTGGCTATGTCAAGGTCACACAGCTACAGTGGCAGAACTGGACCTCGTCCGTGCTCTTTCCGACATGCTCAGAATGTCACCCTGTGCCCCAGCGCACCCTCTGCTGGCCTCTGGGCTCTCCGGAAAGCACCGGCTGGCCTCTGGCACTGACTTTTAGTTTCCCACCCACAGGCCTCCACAGTCAGTGACGGCAGACACGGAGAATAAAGAGGTGGCCAGGATCACATTCGTCTTCGAGACGGTCTGCTCTGTGGACTGCCAGCTCTACTTCATGGTGGTGTGTCTTCCCTCCTTTGTCTGCTCTGGGGGTCCCAGGGCAGGCTGTTGGGAGGGCTGGCCCCCTCGGCCCCCTTGGAACACCAACATAGTGGGCACCCCTGCTCATGGGACTTCACAGAGGAAGGGCCCAGACTTCACCAGGGACCTCCCAACCGAGCATGGGTCTGGGCACTGTGATGGCCCCAGGGCGGGAACTGTGAGAGCACCCTCTTTCCCTCTGGCCACCCAGCCATCATGCCTCCTTCACTCATCTGCCTTGGGTGCAGGGTGCCAATTCTAGGGCCAACACTCCCGTGGAAGCGTGGAAAGGTTCCAAGGGCAAGCAGTCCTTTACCTACATCATCGAGAAGAACGCCACCATGACCTTCACCTGGGCCTTCCAGAGAACCACTTTCCATGAGATAGTAAGTCCCTCCCCTCCCTCAGATCTCTGGCTCCCAGGAGAGGCCTCCGCACCCAGCAGGATCCCCAGCAGTAGTTCAGGTGGGAGTGTGCAGTTCAGAACCCAAGGGTTAGAAGGTTCCGGAGTCCCGCAGAGAATGCCCTGAGAAGCATCTGGCCTTGTCCCAATGACTCCCAGGGAAGCTCCCTAAATTATCTGTCTCTCCTCGGCAGCCCCCTGAGGACATGTGTGGGGCCTCCCAGGTACGCCCTGTGCATTTCTGTTACTGTTTTTAATGATAATAACTCTGGTTTTATTGTCTTAACTCAGAGTAATGCAGGTTAATTGCAAACAACTCAGAAGGTAGAAGGAAGCAAAAGAGATGAAATAAATCACACATAATCCTCCTACCCAGACATACCCCAGTTAACATCTGAGTAGCCCCTACCCAGGAGATTCTCTGCAAATACTTTTCTCCTTTCGTGGGGAGAAGACCTGCTTTTCCCATATAACAGTATCTATTGCTTATTTCCCCCATGGCACTTAATATTTTCATACATCATTTTAAATGGTTTGCATTTGCTCTAAAATGACACAAACTGTACATAAAGAGGTACTGTTTGGTGAGTAAAAAGAATAGGGTGCGTATCGGTTTTTCTTGAGTAGTATAGGATAAAAAAATTAAGCAGCAATGTACTTCTTCCAGAGAACTCGGCTGCAGCTGGCATCTCAGGCCTCTGCCCTCTCTCCTCCTATTTCCTGTTTCCAGGGCAGAAAGTACACCAACGATGTCGCCAAGATCTATTCTATCAACGTCACCAATGTCATGGATGGGGTGGCTTCCTACTGCCGGCCCTGCGCCCTGGAGGCTTCCGATGTGGGCTCCTTCTGCACCTCCTGTCCTGCCGGCAACTACATCGACCGGGGCTCAGGGACCTGCCGCCCCTGCCCCGAGAACACAGTCCTGAAAGCCCACCAGCCCTACGGCATCCAGGCCTGCAGGCCCTGTGGCCTGGGGACCAGGAGCAACAAGGTGACAGCAGCGGGCCACACATTCTAGCCTTGGCCTCTGATGAACCATCTCTAAGGGTGCTGGAGCTAGACTGGGGTCTTGAGGGGCTGATCCCCAAGCATGGCCCATAGCATGCTCCTGGGGTAAAGTCCTAGGGGACAGCCATCCAGGCTGTGACCAGGATGGCGTGTTCTTACCTATAGTAGCAGTTGGTTTTCAGGGTCTGGGCCTCAGTCAAGGGCAGGTCTCATCTTCCAGGGATGGGTGAGGGACATCTGTGACCACCTGGGCCAGAGGGTTGTTTGGCATCTGTGCAGAGTCCTGAAGGGAATAGCTCAAATTCAGACCTGTTTCACTGCAGCCTATGATCACGGGCATTGCCCCCTCTCCTCCGAGAAGGTAACCCACCTTTGCTGGGATGTGCAGTTACTTGGCATTGTTGTCCACCCCAGTGGTTTCTTGTTAAGTGGAAAAACTGCTATTGACCATATACTGTATGAATCTAAGAGGGCACTACTACTAAAAGCTCTCTAGCAGTCATTAATGCTTCTAAGTGAATTTGTATTTTACCAATCACGACCACATGGACGTATCTGAAAGGCATTATTTATAGCCTGCAAATGCTGCTCAGTTCAGCTGTTCAGTACTTGCAACAATTCTACAGACCTCTGGCAACCTTTTGGGGACACCCTGGACTTTTGCCACAAACTTCTCCTGGGGCTCCCTCTGCTGCTCTGGGAGGGAATGACAGCTGCCTAAGGAGGCTGCTGAATGAGGACCCCAAAATGAAGCAAGGAAGGGTTTATGGGGAATGAAGCCCCCCTCTGAGGTCAGTTTTCTACAGAGACCCTGGGGAAGAGGAAGCAGGGGTCTGGGTGTTGGGAATGAGAGGAGGGTCGGGCTCGTAGCTGCTCTCCTGCCACCATGGACGTGCTTCTTCCAGGTAGCACCTTGTCTTCTGCTTGAAAGTAAGAAGGGCTGTCTTGGGCCTTGAGAGAGTTCTATAATCTCAGCCTGGGGACAAGGCTATAGAGTCCGACCTAGCTGCTTACTGAAAAGTAACACGTTTGGGTTTGTACGTCGTATCTGTGCTAACAATTGAATGGAAGATGCACTGAAGCGCCACCAGCCACTGCTTCACTTCTTTTAACTCCCACCTGCAACCCTCACTTTCACTTCTTTGGCTCCCCTGGGGCTGGGCCAGGCTGGGCCTCCGCGGCCGCCCCCTCAGAGGCCCTGCCCCAGCAGCTGGCCTGATGGCCCCTTTCCCTTCAGGTCCACTCTCTGTGCTACAATGACTGCACCTTCTCCATTGGCACTCGGAGCAGGACTTTTGACTACGACTTCTCGGCTCTGGCCAACACCGTCTCTCTGGCCGGAGGGCCAAGCTTCACTTCCAAAGGGCTGAAATACTTCCATCACTTCACCTTCAGTCTCTGTGGAAACCAGGTAAGGTATGCGAGTGCTGATGGTGTGGGAACTGAAAGATGTTACCTGTGGGTCAGTGGCCGGAGATGAACACAGAAGAAACGCTAGCTAGGACTTCAGGCAGCAGGGGATTGAGGAGGTGGAAGGTTTTTAAATGGTGATTATTCTCTTTGAGTACTCTTTCCTTTAAAATTAAACCTATTGTATTTTTTAAATTTAGGAAATAAAAGTGTTTGAAGTAAGGTGTCCATTTACTCCTCCCTGACCTTCATTCCCTCAAAAATGAGTGTATTAGAAACTATGAAGGAGGAAGGGGTTTTTTTTTCCCCTTAAGAAAGTAGTTTCCACCTGGCTGGTGTGGCTCAGTGGATTGAGTAGGGGCCTGCAAAGCAAAGGGTCCGCAGTTTGATTCCTAATCAGGGCACATTCCTGGGTTGCAGGCCACGCGTGTCCCATGTAGAGGGCATGCGAGAGGCAGCCACACATTGATGTTTCTCTCCCTCCCTTTCTTTCTCCCTCCCTTCCCCTCTCTAAAAAGTAAATAAATAAAATATTTTTTTAAAAAGAGAGCACTTTTCAGTAATCATGGCAATGGTCATTTGTTTTCTAGAAGGTAGATAAAATAAATTATTCTTACTTCGCCTATGTGTATACCTTTGCTGACAGTAGAAAAGAAAGTAACATGAAAGCCTTTACTTATGTGCTAAGGAAAGAATGTTACCACCAGTCATTTCATGCTGCTGCAAATATTTTGTGTCCAAAACTCAGGGTAATCACACCACTGTAGCACTTCATTAAATTACAAACAAGCCAGGATTTGCCCTTGGAAAGTTAGTTTCCGATGTTATAAAACAAAGAGCATCTTGAGCACTTAGTTTGTGATTCTGTGTGGAGATGCGTGGCCTTGACACCACATGGCTTCCGCCCATATTCTGCAGCACACCAGAAAAAGCTGAATTGTGTTTATAAGGGAACATGTCAGGAAATGAAGTATCTGTGAAAGATTAGAGAGGGATGCCTCTATTTTGTTTTTTTAAAATCTATTTGAAGAAATGAAAGGCTCAGAAGTGACAGTGAAAACTTGGGAATTGAGACTAATTAAAACCCCACGTAGTAAAAGTTCCACTGGGAGAGATGATGATGGGGAACTTAGAGTTTGTGACTTTTTGCTTTTTGCTCCTTTCTTCTTTTCAGAAATGCTTACTGTTACTGCCACACTACAGATCTCAGTTCAAAGACAGTATCACTACATTTTATTATAATTAAAGGTTTCTTTCTGTTCTCATGTTCTTTATTCTTGCAATCTAAAATAATAAACTATCAAATTTAGCAACTTAGCTCAATTTGTAATATAATGTATAATATTGCAAACCCTACATTCTGCATGCTTAATCCACTTACACTTAAAATAGTGAACAAATGATTTTATATTTGCAAACAAGTTCTATATTGGTATTTCATAAATTTAATATATTTGAGGGAATAATATCTCAGTATTTCCTCTATTTCAAGATCTCGAAGAAAGAGTCTCAACTCCTACCATCTTCCAGATTTCCTACACAATGAGGGTTGCTAAAAACTGAAGGAGAAGCCAACTGTCTTCTCTTGATGATATTTTAAAAAACAGAATAAGTTCCGATTAGTCCTAAGATGTCCTGTTATGGGGTCTGTCTGTTTTAACCCCAGAAGTTTCTGTCTGGAAAGTGCTTCTGAGACAAGCAAGGTGGAGTCAGTGCACGAAGGGACACACAGAGAAGGAATGTGAACTGGGTCAGACAATCACAGATTTCATGAGGTCACTTCCGTACGTCAGTATCTGTCTAGAAAACTGACTACAATATGCAAGGCACTTAACTGATAGACTACATCTCCAAGTTGGCTGTTATCATTACAACCCTGCTCACAAAGGGTCCCCATGTGACTTCAACAGAACAAAACGACTTTGGTCCCCCGGGGCCAGAAGTCCAGGAACTAGGACACCTAGGCCTTATTTTTAGTGGTTTTTTTTTAAATTTTTATTTATTTTTAGACAGGGAAAGGATGGGAGAAAGAGAGGGAGAGAAACAGCAGTGTGTGCTTGTCTCTCGCGTGCCCCCTACCAGGGACCTAGCCTACAACCCAGGCATGTGCCCTGACTGGGAATCAAACCAACATTTGTTCACAGGCTGGCGCTCAATCCACTGAGCCACACCAGCCAGGGCTTTTTTTTTTTTAAGCTACTTATAATTAGATCTGGGATGAATTATTCCATGGCAACATACCATTAGTAGGCTAACATTTTTAAAAATTAAAAAAAAAACCTGTTCCCTGTTCCCTTTTGGGAGTTTTGTGACCATTCACCCCTTCCTATTTCCCCCCCCCGCCCACCACATCCCCCTGCCCAGGGTAAGAAAATGTCTGTGTGCACCAACAACGTCACCGACCTCCGGATCCCTGAGGATGAGTCCGATTTCTCCAAATCCGTCACGGCCTACGTGTGCCAAGTGCTCATCATCCCCCCAGAGGTGACAGGCTACAAGGCTGGAGTGTCCTTGCAGCCTGTCAGCCTCGCCGACCAACTTATCGGTGAGTGTGTGTGCATGGAAGCCAGAGCGAGGCTACCAGGCTCTAAGGTAAAGGGTCCCAGAGGAGGGGCCCAACTGCCTGGCCTGTTTTCTGTTCCAGCCTGGGGTGCCCAGTGCCAGGGGGCCTCCGGCACGCCTGCGGCTCACCCTTTTATGAGCCGCCAGGGGATGTGAGGAGATGAAGGGAGGCTGGATGTTGATGGGCATTGAGAGAACTGAAGTAGTTGCCAGCTACCGCTACTAGTGAGAACTAATTAGGGGTTCTGATTTGGCAGGGGTGACAACAGACATGACCCTGGATGGAATCACCTCCCCAGCTGAACTGTTCCACCCAGAGTCCTTGGGAATACCGGACGTGATCTTCTTTTACAGGTGAAAATGTGAGGCCAAGCTAACGCAAGTGAAACTTGGGGCTCCTCCACAATTTCTGTTACATCCCCCCCTTTTTAGCTACTTAATACTTATGAAGCTGGAACATGTCCAAGGTCTTGCAGGACTGCCCTGCAATGATAGCTGAAGGCTGGGAGGTCCCTGATCCCAGCTTCTGGGGTATTCCTGGGGCAGGTCTGTGGGGGAGGCAGGAGAACTACTGCATGATCTACAGACCTCCCTTTCCAGCTAAGGACACTGGTGTTCTGCACACGCTAACCTTTCCTAGACTGTGCCTCTCCCCTTGACCAGATCTTCATCCCTGCTCTCTCCAAGTGTACACCAAGGCCTCCTTGTGGACTCCTTGTGCATCAGGCTACAGCCCAAGTCCTGACTTCCCCAGCAAGGGACCTGTTCCATGTCGACCTCATTTAGTGACTCTCCGATGGCCCAAATGACTGACTCATTCCCCCCGGGGCTGGCTCTCACTGCAGGTCCAGCGAGGTGACTCAGTCCTGCAGTTCTGGGAGGTCGACCACCATCCGGGTCCGATGCAGTCCACTGAAGCCTGCCCCTGGCAGTCTGTCACTGCCCAGGTAAAGGGACAACAAAGTTGCCCTTCCTCAGACTCTCTGGTATCCCAATAAGCCAAAGGTTAGCAAAAGAGCAAAAGAGAAAACAGTCCTGAGTTTCCTTAATGGGCTCTTGGGGACATGGCCATGCTCCAGACCCTCAATCTTCAGGTCAAGAATGGGGCCGAAGGAAGAGTCGAAGCTGCCTTCATGTTCCCAGACCAGTGTGGGTGGCTGCAGAGCAAAGTGGCTGACTGAGAGCCAGAGGGGATGCGCCTCCTCCACGGCCATTTCCGGTCTTCTGCAGGCCTCTTTGTTCTTATTTATAACGTGGGAATACTAGGAAGTTCCCTCAGGGCATTCTTGTGAGAGTGAAAGAGACAGTGAGACTTGAGGACTTCTCATGAGATTTGGCTTGCACTTGCTATAACTAGGATTAAAAAAGGTTTAGGGGGGCCCTGGCTGGTGTGGCTCAGTGGATTGAGCACGGGCCTGTGAACCAGAAGATGGAGGTTCGATGCCCAGTCAGGGCACATGCCTGGGTTGCAGGCCAGTTCCCAGCAGGGGATGCACGAGAGGCAGCCATACATTGATGTTTCTCTCCTTCCCTGCTTCCCTTCCCCTCTAAAGATAAATAAATTTAAAAAAAAAAAAGGTTTAGGGAATCCTAGAAGTCTCTCCACAACTGAGAGATCCAATTCTGAGTTTAGCAGCTACATTGAGAACTCCCAAACTAATTGGATTACAGCACCCCCCAACCCCCACCCTTTTTTTCACATAACACCAGTTAACATCACCAGGGGCACTGAGGCCTTGAGGAAGACAGTCTGGGAAATGCTTCTCCTAAACAGGAGACCAGGAAGGTGGGCCGTGCAGCAGGACATTGAACCCAATAGTGGTCCCGTTGAGACCACTGTTCTTGCCATCGTCAACATCACAGAAAAGTGAACGGCAGAGAATCCTGACCGAGCGTCCACTCTTCAACCCCGCCACCAGGAAGCTGCGTCAACGTGGCTTCTACAACACGCCCCACGTCCCTGGGGAGAACGGGCTGGGGCAGCGTGCTGGAGCTCATGCACCCTCTATTAGCTCTCAGCTGACGTCAGCAGAAACAAGCATAGGGTGTGGCCCAGGGGAGGCTGGGAATGCGTCCTGTCATCAGGGAAATTAGAGAGCAAAACCGAATTAAGGACTAGTGGGAAGGATTCCTGGGGAGCTCACAGTCTGTCAAGCAGAGGACGGATGAGGCGAGCTATGGGGTGACAGGACCGTGAGCAGACCTCTCCCACTGTCCAGTGAGGGGGCTGAAGTCTCCTCTCCTCTTTGTTGTCCAGCACGTGCTCCGGCGGGACCTGTGACGGCTGCAACTTCCACTTCCTGTGGGAGAGTGCGGCCGCCTGCCCGCTCTGCTCGGCCGCCGACTACCACGCCATCACCAGCAGCTGTGTGGCTGGGGTCCAGGTAGGTTTCTCTGCCTGGAGCTGTCCCAGGAGAGAAGGGAGTGTGATGTGTGAGTTCCTTGGTTTTCTCCCCAACAGAAGACCACCTATGTGTGGCGAGAACCAAAGCTGTGCATGAGCGGCACTTCCCTACCCGAACCGAGAGTCACCATCTGCAAAACGATAGATTTCTGGCTGAAAGTGGGCATCTCCGCGGGCACCTGCACTGCCATCCTGCTCACCGTCTTGACCTGCTACTTTTGGAAGAAGAATCAAAAGTACATGATGACAGGGTGTTGGAGTTTGGGGGTGGACAGGGTTGGGTCACTGGGCAGGGAGACCAACCGAAAGGGAGAATTCATGGTGCTTTCTCCTGGAGTTGGCCACAGACCCCGTGACTCCAGCCAGGGACCTGTTGGGACACTCACAATGTATGCCTTGGTTGTCCCAACTCCTGAACAGGACGGTACCGTGTGGCAGCCTAGACTACTGTTAGATTCTCAGAAGAAAAGCAAAGAGTATCCTTCATTTGTTGTTATTAATAATGAAAATGACTTTATGATTCCAGTATTTCTTCTAAGTTTTGAAGTCAAGGAAACAGCCAGCTTTAAGGAAAAAAGATCACTGACCTGGGAGCCAGGATTGCTTAGCTGTGTGCCCAGCCCAACGCCACTTCGCTAGGCTTGGGTTTCCTCACCCATGGCCTGGGACTACCTGTTCATGGCCCACCTTCTCATCCTCCCTCCCTCCCTCCCCCTACTCTACATTTTGGTGTCTTGTCTTGCCACCGTTTCACAGACTAGAGTACAAGTACTCCAAGCTGGTGATGAACGCATCCCTGAAGGACTACGACCTGCCAGCCGCCGACAGTTGTGCCATCATGGAAGGCGAGGACGTGGAAGATGACCTCATCTTCACCAGCAAGAAGTCCCTCTTTGGGAAGATCAAGTCATTTACCTCCAAGGTAGGGAGTTTGGCCGGTGCACCGAGGTCAGCCTGGAGGGCTGGAGAAGACAGCAGCCCTATAGACACTAAATGGCCCGCATTGCTCCGGGACGCTGCTCTGCTCCCGAACTGCCATACTACTCTACCGCCCCACCCTGAAAAATCCTGGCTTCTGCCTTCTGTATTTTCACACCAATGCTCTTTTCCCTGGGGCCCAAGGCTGCTCTTGACCAGGCTCCTTCTCTCCCAACATGCACTCCAGTTGATGAACTGTTTGGGCCTTTTAACTTCCAGAAGGAGTGTTGAACCATCCACGTTGTAAGAATCCTTTCCCCCCTTTTTTTCTTTTGGAGGGAGGGCAAGAGGTGATGTCTAGGATCAACTACTGATAAAAGCGAGGCTCTCCTTTGGCCAGTGGAGGGTGCCATCCCCCAGATATTTGGCCCTGGTCCCTTGGGGGCTGAGTCACAGCTAAGTCGCAGCTGTTCTGTGATTCTGAGCTGGGAGCATTGGCTCCGCGTGGGTGGGTGAGTCTGAAGCTCATAAATGCAAGACAGACAGCCCTGTCGCTGGGTGTGGGGCCAGCAGAGAGCATCCAAGCAACTCCTCAACGGCCACAGCCCTCCCTGTACAGCCCCACTTGGCCAGCACCCACACCTCTCCGATGCCCTGAACCAACACATCCAAACAGGTGTGGGCAGGGAGGGCGGTAAGCCAGAGGGGAAGACAGGAGTGGGTAATGATGAAAGGAAGGAGTGTGGGTGTCCAGATTGCCGAATCTCATTCCCTTTGTGCTGACAGACAAGGGTGGCTGCCTTGGTCTCTTAGACCTTGATTTTTTTTTTTTTCCCACTGGTGGGACAACAGTTTATCCTGGGACCCTTGAGTCTTTCTGGAGCTTCAGCCAAGATGCAAAGCCGAGGGTTGTAAAGATTTTCCTTTTCCTCTCTGGCTGACTGCAGGGAGCAAGAAGAATAGAGGGTACCTTATTTCTAAAGTTTCCACAAAGCCGCTGAAAGCAAGAATTCCGTGAGGGTTCCTTCTGTCACCTATTTTTCCATCTCTCTCCTTTGTTCCCCACACTTGTCCCTGTGCAGCAGCCAGCTCCTGTCACCATCTCTCTTTCAGAGGACTCCTGATGGATTTGACTCGGTGCCACTGAAGACATCCTCAGGGGGCCCTGATGTGGACCTGTGAGGGGCACGGCCCCGCCTCCCCGGCCTCCTCATTTGGCACAGCACCTTGCCAGCCTGCGGTAATTTGGGTGCCAGCTTCCTGCGACACCCGCTGCTGGGAATCTCTTCATTGTGGCCTTATCCGAAGAAGTTTGAATTTTAGATCTTTTGTTTTTTTTTATAGAGTACCCACACCCTCCTCTCTGCTTGCCTCAAACCTGCCAAATATACCCACACTTTGTTTGTATATCACTCCCTTGCCTGCTTTTTCCCGAAATGGTCCAGCTGCCGGAGCCATAGCTTCCTCTGCTCATGATTCTTATAGCCCCGGAATGAACAGATCTCTCTCTGCTTAAGTATAGAAATGACTCCCCTGCCCTCTTATTTAAGGGCAGAAGCGGCTGGGAGATTCCCTGATCTCGTGCCCTCAGCCCGTGATCTCTTTAGGAGAGAGGCCGGGTGACGAGGGTGCTGGCGTCCATGATGGACCATCTCCATGGTCATGGTCACCTGGACTCGTCTCTCCTGAGTTCACAGCTCAGACGGAGTGTAGTGGACTGCCTGAGGGCTGGGCAAAGGCGGCCTGGGTGAGGAGAGGCTTGACAAGCACAAAGAGAGGCAGTAAGGAAGGCTTTGTTTTCTTCTTTAAACTAGGTACTTAATTCTCTTTTCTGAAGTAAGAGAGAAATATTGTCACTGGAGCCAAAGGAAAAAGCTCACTGAGAAAATGCCCAAAGTCCTGGTGGATCTGCACTCCCCACTTTATTTATTTATTTTATTTTTTAAAAGATTTTATTTACTTATCTTTAGAGGGGAATGGAAGGAGAGTGGGAGAAAGATATCTGTGTGGTTGCCTCTCATGCATCCCCTGCTGGGAATTGGCTTTAGACCCAGGCATGTGCCCTGACTGGGAATCAAACCGCAATCCTTTGATTTGCAGGTTTGCGCTCGATCCACTGAGCTACACCAGCCAGGGCTGCACTCGCCACTTTAAAACAAAAATCTCTCACCATCTCCCTGTGACACTAAAGAAAACTAGGCACGCCCCAAACCCAGATGTTCTACTTCCTTTCACCCATAAAGATGACAAACCCTGCCCGTGGGGACAATTCCCCATCCTTGGGTGCCCCAAGGCACATCATGCAACAGGGGTGTCATAGTTTGAGAGGACACGAGGAGGCCACAGTCTTCACAGGGCCACACTGGGGGATCCAGCCCCCAGGGGAATGGACCTGAGGTGGCGAGGTCTGCTTACAAGCTCATTCTCCTACTTAGCTGCAGAATGAACAACTTCGAGGCTGGCCACAAGGGAACTGGCTCCTAGGCCCAACCCCCAGCAAAAAAAACGAATCGGTCTTCAAGGAGGGGAAAACGAGGGGAGTTGAACAAGGGGAGTTGAACAAGGTGTTCACCAAACCGGGACTGGTCACACTTTTGGGTCCTTCCCTCTTTCCTGCTCTCATTTTCTTTGTGTGCCAGAAAGCTAAAAGTACTTCTGACCCCACTTCCTGGCAGCATCCCTTTTGAAAGATGAGTACAGCAAGTATCCTGTGTCCCTTTCGCTACTTCTAAACCAACTATAATCGATGAACTTTAACTAGAATGGCGAAACCAGAGCGAGAGTTCAGATTTCCTTTTTGTGTCTACGACTGACAACTCTCCCTCCCTCACTATCAGGCTAGAATGACCGCCTCTTGCTCAAGGGCCCAGGTGCCCATGGTTTGTGCCTGTCTTCTTCTTCAGTGGCCATTGGTGACCAGATGGTAGGTACAGAACGAAGATGGCAATTCTAAGTGGTTTGCCTGCCACAAACTGGTTTGCTGGTCTTACTAGCCATTGCTGTCCCCAAAATGGTCTCATAACAGGGTCAGTGAGAACTGAAACCCTGCCGTGACGTCTGGCCAGCAACAGCACCACTGACGGTGAGCAGTCCCCTTGATTCAAAAAAAATCTAGAAGCGCTTCTTTGGGTTTCTGAACCCTCCCTTCTCTTGTGGGAGTCAGGCTCTCAGAAATGGTGGCCACGTGGGGATTTCTCCAGAAGGATGCAGACAGTGGCCCCTGAGCTCCAGCCCCGGGTTTTCTGCAGCCTCTGCAACACCCTGGGCATCTACATGCCCCATGAATTACTTGCTTTTGTGACCAAGGCCACAGTACATCCTTAGACTATTCTAGAAGCAGTAGGAAAAGTACGCACCCTGTTGACTTCTTTATTCTGACATCTTGAAACTGAGTACCCCCGGAGCAGCCCCAAACTCCACTGATTTAGTCACAATACTTTAAATGTCTTTTTACTATCCCTTTGCGTACCGACTTCTGTGGATCTCCCCTGCAGCATGCTGGGAGCGCCTGAGTTACGCTACTAGGGTTGCCTGTTGCTCTCCTGGCAACCTAGACACATGTTAGATATTTTTCAATAGCTCTTTTAAGCTGTAATTCAAATACCAGGTAATCCCCTCAATTACGATACGCAATCCAATAGATTTTAGTACGCTCACAGAACTGTGTATCCGTCACCACAGTCGATTTTAGAACAGACACATTAGATGGTACGGCACCATCTTACAGGGTGACGTCTGTGAGCAGGGGTGGTATTTACCTTCCTCTTAGGCAGGGAGGTAGGAAAGTGTAAGGCCTATGTCCTCACACTAAGGCTACATTGGTTTGCACAAGCTATTGGGGGAGAGAGTGTGGGCTCAGGGGAGAGAGTATTTAAATCATATTTAGTTACCTAAAGTCTTAGAACTCGAAAGTGACTCTCAGCACGTAGGTGTCACCTGGATTTGGCTGGGAGTACAAATGAAAACTGTGGCATATTCAAGGACCAGGGGATTTCTTATGCCAACAAAACCTTTTTTTTTTTTCTGACTCTACAGTAAAGATAAGACTGACTATATTTATACAACAGAGACTTTGTAATGAATTTTTTCAGCTTTGTGAAACCAAATTTTTGCCTCATCGAGACTGGTTGGATTTCCCTTTTTTACTCTGTATTCCAAGAGTTTGTAGTTTGTTAGGGGTTGGGTATTGCATGTCACTTTTTTTCTGTGAAATAAAACCATACCTTTCAAGTTGTTTTCCTTGAATGTGGGTTGGATGGCTGGAGGGGTGAGAAACGGTCCAGGATTCCGGAGTAACCGAGGGAAGAACAGACTCTGGAGGAACATGGCCCTGGGCCAGCAGCCTCTTCTCACCTGTTAAGAAATCACCAACCACCAAAGCCTCAGTTTTCTCAACACAAAACGCAACTAACGACTCCTCCACTCCTCGCCTCCCAAGATGAAATGAGGTTCAAATGAGAGAACACACAAAATACTTCCCACGTGACTTCCCTTCCCTTCCCTTCCAGTTGCACTTTCTCGCAGGCGGCACTGAGGACAGCCACATAACGGTGTCCACAAATACAAGTAAAAGGAGCTCGTTTGGGCTCGAGGTGGGTTATTTTAGACTACACGTGGCCAAAATCCTAGAGGGTGGCAGGAGCCATTTCTCAGGGAAGCTGGGATTTCCTGTGTCTGTTTTCCTTCGTTCTTAATCCCCTCAAAAAAATGCCCTAGGCTGGTTGGCTGACTCACGTCTGTTCTGGCTGGGTGGCACCTGGGCTCTGCTGGTGGTTGAATGGTTTTTTTTTTAAAAATATTTTATGTATTTATTTTTAGAGAGAGGGGAAGGGAAGGTAAAAGAGTGGAAGAGAAACATCAATGTGTGGTTGCCTCTCATGCATCCCCTACTGGGGAGCTGGCCTGCAACCCAGGCATGTGCCCTGACTGGGAATCAAACCAGTGACCCTTTGCTTCACAGACCCGTGCTCAATCCACTGAGCTACACCAGCCAGGGCTCAATGTTTTAAATATCACCCCTGCTCATTGGGTGACGTCTATGAGCAGGGGTGATATTTACCTTCCTCTTAGGCAGGAAGATAGAAAAGGATGCTGTTAATGTGGCAGCGCTTTGTGTCAAGCCTGAAAAAATTCAGTGCTTTTTAAAAAAATGTTTTTCATTTATTTATTTATACGCCTGTTTGTTATTTCATTGACTATGCCTCTATTTTTTAAAAGATTTTATTTATCTATTTTTAGAGAGGGGAAAGAAGGAAGAAGAGAGGGATAGAAACATCAATGTGTGGTTGCCTCTTGCACACCCCCTGTTGGGGACCTGGCCTGCAACCCAGGCATGTGCCCTGACTGGGAATTGAACCAGCAACCCTTCAGTTTGCAGGCTGGCACTCAATTCACTGAGTCACACCAGCCCGGGCCTGAACTGAGTGCTTTCATAGCACTGTCCACTTAGTTCTCAGAACAGCCCTAGAGGCAGGGACTATGCCCATTATAACAGATGAGGAAACTGTACCTCCAACAGATTTAGTCACGTGGCATATGAGGTCCCGAACAGCCCACCCTTACACTCTAACCTCACTGAACTTCTGACTGTCCCTCAGTCGTAAGCTGTTTCACACCTCTCACCTGTCACATGCCTCTGCTCCTCCTCTTCCACCTGAAAGACCCCTGCCCCACCCTCAAAGTCGCCCCACTGTGAAACCTTTTCCAGCTCACCCCCTGGGAATACAATAGGGAACAAACAATTACACAAGCATAGTGCAGTTAGTGTATATGAATTCAGCCATATAGTGTGCAGTTTCAATGCATCAAGCAAGAAGCAGACATGACCCAGCTTGAAACTGGGGGGGAGGAACATGTGAATGATTTCAAGGGCTTCCCAATCCCTGATGAAGAAGTAAAACGCACTGTCAGGTGACCAGGCGGGAAGATATTAATGACTTGGTCTAAAACATAAAGAAGATATTTTACTGATAGAGAACAACTGAGCAACAATGGCTATTGCACAGATACAGAAGTTGATGGAAGCTTGCATATACAAAACCTTACAGGTAACTGAGCTAGCTATTCAAGGTGAGTCTGGAATATAAATAATTTCATTCTAGCACTGAAGTTCACAATCCCACAAAAAGTGCCATTCCCTGAACAAGACAGTGTGGTAGGATAATTGACTTCTCATTCCAATTGTAACAGAGAAAGACGCGGGATTAAAGTCTTCCACTTCCTGGCAGCTCTCCCTGACCCGAGTTATTTTTAAATGGTTCTACCTGGGATCCCCACAGACAGCAACATCGACCCCTTTTGTTATTGTTCCTCTCTGATATCAGGGAGCGAGAGCCAAGAACTGGAGGTTGGGCTGTCAGTCCCTCCTAAAGCAGTAGATACACGTCACTGTACGGTGGGAACCTAGAATCAGTCTGGGGGGAGGGGTAAAGAGAGCATCAGAGAAGACTTCTGGAAGAAGGAATTGGCCAGTTTGGAGGAAGAGGGGAGAGGGAGTTCCAGGCAGAAGTGGCTTGTGCAAAGGCTCAGGCAAGGGAGGGGTGCCACCAGTAGCTCAGAGGGGAAGGCCAAGAGATAAAGAGGGAACATGTTCAGGGGCAGACCATGAAGGGCTTTGCCAGTTCTGTGTGAACATTCTGAGGACAACAGGTCATCACTGAAGGCTTCCAGCAGGGAGTGAGAGGTCAAGGCTTGCTCGTCAAACACTGAGAAATCCTATTCCAGATCTGGAGCAGAAAGAGCAAAGAGGTACTACAGGGAGGCCAGAGAGAGCCCTCCCTCCCTAGACAGCTCTGAAATGGGAACACTGGTAATGGCATCTAGTCTCCACCCTCTCACTTGCTCCTTCCCTGCAGGGGCTCACTCCCCCCAGCTGTCCCCAGTTACCCAGAGCCTCCAAGGCTATTGCTCACCTAGGATTCGGTTCCCTGAACTTGCACTCAGCCTACTCCCTGCAATTCACTCACCCAGTGGGGATGTAATAAGCATCTCCCATGGGTCAGACACTGTGCTAGGCCCTGTGGAGATAAAGATACAAATATCCAGCCTAGCTGGGTAACTCAATTGGTTAGAGCACTGTTCCAATATGCCAGGTTAGCAGGTTCAATCTCCAGTCATGGCACATAAAGAATCAACCAATACATAAAAGGATCGACCAGTGAATGTATAAATAAGTGGAACAACAAATCGATGTTTGTCTCTCTCCCTCTTCCTCTCTAAAATCAATAAAAGTTTTTTAAAAGATACAAATAGGAGCACTTCCGCCAAGATGGAGGCATAGGTGGATGTGCCGTGCCTTCTCCCACAACCAAGATTAGAGAAAACTAAATATTAGCAACAGAAAACACAGCCAGAACACGGAAAATTGAACTCTTCGGAAGTCCGTTAACAACAAATTCTTCAGCCTGACTGGTAAGGGGCGAAACCAGCGGCTGGCGGAGCAGGGTTGCACAGGAGGACTTGGCCAGACACACTCAGGCCCGCGGAATCCAGGCGCAGGGTCAGACCTAGTGAGCGACCCAGCGAGCAACCAGGCGAGCGACCGCGGGGGAGACAGCCGGGCTGGGGCTGCGTGTTGACTGAGGTCGCGCATTTGTGCGAGGGTGGACAGGCGAGGGAGTGGGCGGTTGGACCGGGCCGGCAGGTCCCCACGACGAGCGGCAGTGGAGGGCGCCGCCATTTCCCTGCTCTGACCCCACCTCCACATACAGCGTCATAACCCAGCGACTCTGAGTGGCCCCGGCCCAGGTGAACCACCTAAGGCACTGCTCCTCCGCACCCAGCTGTGAGAAGCGGCAGAGGGGGTCGCCATTTCCCCGCTCTGGCCACGCCCCCACATACAGCGTCACAACCCAGCGACCTGGGAATCCAAGCCGCCGCTTCTCACACTTAAAGGGCCCGAACAGACCAAGAATGGCGCAGGAGGATCTCAGAGCCCCAGAAATAAATCTAAGCGATGAAGAAATAGCAAAACTCACAGACGCACAGTTTAAAAAATTGGTGATCAGGATCCTCACAGAACTGGTTGATTATACGGACAAATTAGACAAATATATGAAGGCGAAACTAATTGAAATGAATGGAATTGCACAGGACACCAATAGCAATGAAAAGGAAACTGGGACTCAAATCAATGGAGTGGACCAGAAGAAAGCAAATAATGGCCAAACAGAAAAGAGTCAAGAAGCAAGAATTCAAAGAAATGAGGAGAGTCTTAGGAACCTCCAGGACATCTTTAAATGCTCCAACATCCGAATTATAGGGGTACTAGAAGGGGGAAAGGCACAGCCACCAGTGGAAAACTTATTTGAACAAATAATAAAGGAGAATTTCCCCAATCTGGCAAAGGAAATAGACTTCCAGGAAATCCAGGAAGCTCAGAGAGTACCAAAGAAGTTGGACCCAAGAAGGAACACACCAAGGCACATCATAATTACATTAGCCAAGATTAAAATGAAGGAGAGAATCCTAGAAGCAGCAAGAGCTAAGGGGACAGTCACCTACAAAGGAGTCCCCATCAGACTGTCAGCAGATTTCTCAAAAGAGACCTTACAGGCAAGAAGGGGCTGCAAAGAGGTATTCCAAGTCATGAAATCCAAAGACCTACAACCAAGATTGCTCTATCCAGCAAAACTTTCATTTAGAATGGAAGGACAGATAAGGTGCTTCTCAGATAAGATCAAATTCAAGGAGTTCATCATCACCAAGCCCTTATTATATGAAACGTTAAAGGGACTTATCTAAGAAAAGGAAGTTAAAGAAACATGAACAGTGAAAGGACAACAAACTCAGTTATTAACAACCACACCTAAAACGAAAGCAAACTAAAAGGACAGCTAGATCAGGAGTGGAAACATAGAAATGAAGATCTCAAGGAGGGTTAGCAACAGGGGAGTGAGAGGAGGAGAAGGGGGGGAGAAGGTACAGAAAATAAGTAGCATAGACAGTAGATAGAAAATAGATGGGGGGGCAAGAATAGCATGGGAAATATAGAATCTAAAGGACTTGAGACACATGGTCATAAACTAAAGGGGGGGTGATGGTGGGGATGGGGGGTAGGGTGGAGGGGAATAAAGGGGGAATAGAACAGCTGTAACAGCATAATCAATAAAAAAAAGTGAAAAAAAAAGATACAAATATCTGATGGTCTCTGCCTTATTTTTTTTAAGTCATATTTTCTTCTCTTCTTTTTTAAGATTTTATTTATTTATCTTTAGAGGGGAAGGGAAGGAGAGAGGGAGAGAAATATCAATGTATGGTTGCCTTCTGTCTGTCCCCTGTTGGGAACTGGCCTGCAACCGAGGCATGTGCCCTGACTGGGAATCGAACCTCGATACTCTGGTTCGCAGGCCCCCTCTCAATCCACTGAGCTACACTAGCCAGGGCCCTTAAAGTCGTATTTTCTAAACAAGTTCCTCAAGGCACTGTTTTCTGCTAAAGAATCTTAACAAAGGCACAAGCCCGAATGTGAGACTATCTCAGGCATTTACCAGTGTTTAGGTTGTGGCTCCATTACTTAACTTCCCTGGGCCTCGGTTTCTTCCTATAGAAGGGATGATCTAGCTGTTTTCCAGTTGGAGATCCTTCAACCGCTGAACTCTCAGATACAGCTCTTCTAAATATGAACGTCTAACAGGAACCACACATCCAGACGTGGTATGGCTTCACACCAACCCTGCACGACTGAAGTGGCGTGTTGATTTCTTTTTTGTTAGCTTCTGGCAAGAATTACTCAGTGTAGTAACTCTGGTTATTCCCTGATAATCAGACATTTTAGTTGGAAGCTATATATGTCTTATCAATAAGAAGGGAAAATTAGGGGGAAAGTGGTGGTGGGGAAATGGAGACAACTGTATTAGAACTTTTTTTTTTTTTAAGTATCAAAACAAAGAAGGGAAAATTAGCCCTGGCTGGTGAGGCTCAGTGGATTGAGTGCTGGCCTGTGAATGGAAAGGCTGCCAATTCAATTCCCAGTCAGGGCAGATGCCTGGGTTGTGGGCCAGATCCCCAGTTGGGGGCTTGCAAGAGGCAACCCACCAATATCTCTTGAACATCCATGTTTCTGTCCCTCTTTTTTTCCCCTCCTATCCCCTCTAAAAAACAAATAAATAAAATATCTTTAAAAATTACTATTTTTTAAATCATGTTTAATAATTTAAAAGGTAGACATGAGGGACAAGGTGATGAAAAGAATAGGAATTATGTTGGCAGATAGCTAAGATTCTACTCTATCTCTAAAAATCCAGTGATTCTAAGTTGATAAATGAAGTATGCTATCATGTTAATTTTTTAAGAAAGTTTTTTTAAAAGATTTTATTTATTTGTATTTAAAGATAAGAGAAGGGGGGGAGAAAGACAGGAAGAAAAACATCAATGTGAGAAACACCAATCAGTTGCCTCTCATGCCCCCAGCTGGGGACCTGGCCTGCAACCCAGGCATGTGCCCTGACCAGGAATTGAACTGGCTACCCATCTTTCATTTGTGGGCAATGCCCAACTCACTGAGCCAGGCTGGTTCAAGGCTATTATGTTAATTTTTATACTTATCAAGTAACATAAGCATTTTAAAGGAAGATGTTTATAATCTAATGATAAGACTAATGGTGAAAATTCCTAAGGAAATTTGGAGAGGCCAGAACATTCAGGTCATCCTTTGCATTATACTAACGATCTCCTTAAAGGACTGGCACAGTGGCCCTCCTCCCTGAGGCCTGGGCCCTGGTGCAGTTTCAGGAACACCCATGATTGTTTTGAAACATAGCAGACAATGCACATTAAAGGTAGTGCCTTTGCTGACACAGAAGCAGTCAGCCCCCATTCCAGACCCTGCCCTCAGATTTCAAAGAACCCCACGCTTTGAGGACAGTCTTTTCACACGTTTTCTTCAGAGGCTTCAGCTCCCTAAGCTTCCTTTCCACTAGTTTTAAGCCTAACATCCCAGGCAAGCTGAACCTGTGGGGGGGGGGGGGGGGGGGTCAAACCCAGATAACCCAACTTCCTAAGCCTGCCTCTGGATCTCTACTTGTCAGCTCTACCGTTGCGTCAACCCTACCATTGCGTCAACCCTGCCCTGTGCCTCCGAGTCAGCTTGGCAGAGGCTTGCTGGGGAGCAGGGATAGCTACAGGACCTCCTCATCACAGAAGCCCAAGCAAGTGGCCTAAGACCAAGGTCTCAGCACTACCTGGGGCATTGGGGGTGGGGCTCTAAAGTCTCTGTAAAGTGAAAGGCTGGACGAAACAGGAAGCCTATCCCTAAATCCTCCAGTCTCCTTGTCAGGGAGAGTCTTTGATAACTTTGGCTCCACCAGCAACCAGAATTTTTACTGTAAAAGCCTGAATGTTATGACATGTTGTATGATGAAATCTTTGTTCAAGTTTTCAAATATCCTAAGACATGACCTCAGCACCTTGTACTGTCTTCAAATCTGGCAAATGTGCCCTGGCTGGTGTGGTTCAGTAGGCTGCAGGTTCAGTCCGTGGGCAGGGGCAAGCAAGAGGCAACCTACTGATGTTTCTCCCCCACCTCACCCCCTTCCGCTCTCTCTAAAATTAATAAGCATGTCCTTGGGTGAAGATTTTTTTAAAAATCTGGTTAAGTATTCCTCCTTCGAAAAGTCTCCCCCTGTGTCTCTCTAAAAGAGTTCAATTGCACTCTCCCAACCCTATGACCAAGGGTTAGTAAAGGGAAAATGTGGTTCAGCCAATTATCAGATTTAGAAATGCATTCTAGCTCTAAGGCAGGAGAGTAGTAATCTTCAGCTGAGGTAACCCCGGGACTAAAAAATGTAGCCCTGCTCATCTCAAGATGGAGAAGACAGCAGAGGTTCTGGGAGAGGGTCCAGTCTTAGGACCCAAGTTTGTGAGCGGGGAAACTGGCATCTACTGGAGGCGCCAGCTATCACGTTGGCAGGCCTCTGAGGATGTCTTTTAACATGAGGAGGAAACTGAGGCACTCACCTTCACAAGGCAATGAGAGACCCTACACAGAGAGGGGGGCTGAGCTCGGGAAGGCACGCGCGGGGTACAAGGCCAGAGCCAGGGGGAGGGGTGGGGCGAGGAGATCCGGACGCAGCACGAGAAGTCCAGGCCCGTGCACCCCACCTTCCTCACTGCGGCCCCGCCTCCAACACAGCCGCTTCCGGCCGAGAGGAGGAGCCAGCGCGCTCCCGCTGCGCCTGCGCGGGGTGGGACGGGTCAGCGCCGGCACAGTACGTCGGTCACAGGCCGACTGGGTTGCTACCATCCTCGTTTTTCTTAGTGTTGACCCGGGAGAAGGAAAAATGGTGCTGGACCTGGATTTGTTTCGGGTGGATAAAGGAGGGGACCCGGACCTCGTCCGAGAGATGCAAAAGAAGCGCTTCAAGGACCCAGGACTTGTGGATCAGCTGGTAAAGGCAGACGGCGAGTGGCGGAGATGTGAGTACTGGGATGCGCGGCACGTCCCCAATCTTAATAGCAGCTTCAGCTCTCGGATCTCATTGCCAATCCCGAGGCCACAGCTTCCGCCTCTTGTTAGACCCTCTCGCAGGTTGGGGTGGCTCCAAGGCTTTCCCTATCCCCCGAAACGCTCGGGTAGCCAGGATGGATCCATCTCTTTCCGTCTGCTGGAGGGGCGGGAGCTTCTCTCCGCGCGCGCTCAGTGCGGATCTCGGGTCTGAGTCTGGGAAGGAGCATGGCGCATGCGCGTCAAGAGCTGTCACGGCTTCGTTCACTGCAAGGGTAGCCAGAAAAAACGAAGGGCGGAGGTTTGAGGGACGGGTTGCCCTTTCCTAACACTTATCTTTGGTCGCCTCTGGTCTTTTTGTCATCTTCAGCAAGGCCACAGTGGTCTCCTATTTCGATAGGATCAAAGGTGAGGCCTGAGTCATATCTGCAGTGTAATAGGCTCACTCCATACACATTGGAAGCATTTGGGGTCTTTGGAGGACGCCCCTGCACTACTAGCAGTGATCCCGGGGTTTTGGGGAAAGCTCTCCCCCTGCTCTGTGATCATACTTTTAAAAATCTAGAAAAGCCTTTTCCGTGGTAGGTCATGGGGCGCGGGGTCCAGCGAGGCAAGGAAAAGCTTGTAGTTATTGAGACTGTATAATTGTGATTTAGGGGAGTTTTCCGGAAAAGACATTGGCAGAGTTTGGCTAAAACCTGGAACTGAAAATAAAACCATAGAACCCTCTGCCTAGATGAACTGAGCAGTCACCGATTGGTCGGATGCTGTCAAGGGCGTGTGATTAATTTTGTCTGATGCAATAAACCTGCAACCAACTGAAAGCCAAGTTTTGACAGCACACTGTAAAGACAGTCACTGCCCAAGAGTGCGGTGGCTTTAGGAACATTGATTTTCCTAAGTTTATAAGGGTATTGGGTACCAAAAGAGTATCTGTTTAACTTGGGTTGTCTACTGACTCTGTACGTCTCATTCAATGAGGTAGTTTGTGACTGAGATCCCACTACCTGCATCTGAAGTTTTGAGTTGGAATGGAGTTAAATTAATTGGAAGGAAAAAAACTAGACTGGACACTGTTTTTCTGAATCAGGAGTATCAGATTTTTGTATCTGGTGACCAAATGGCTTTGAATGTGTTAGCTCATCTCTTGTGTATAATATACACGTATACATCTGCAGGGAGTTTTATTCCTTTCCTAATGGATGAATATATGGTGAGGGGATGAGTTCTTCAGGGACATGGCTGTGTTTTATGCATCTGTATGTCCCAGTACCTAGGGTATACATATACATCAAGACATACATGTACACATATATACATTTAATACCTGGCACTGCTCCTGCTCCTTGGTAAGGGCTTGACAAAGGTTTTTTTTGAATTCATGAATATTTTCTGTGTTCAGGGCACTTTCCCCTTCTGGATGAAAAGCCGTTTATTTCATTTATTTTCAACATATCTGTTGATTTGATTTTTTACTTGACGTTTCTTACCAGTGTTCTTTTTGCAGCCAAAGGGAGTTAGTGATTTTTCTCAAGTCACTGGCTGCCTGAGTAGGACACTGACAACAGATCATGTACCAAAGTTCTAGATCTGAAGCTCATATCAAAGGTCGGGGTTCCCTGTCATTGGCTGCAACAAGGACTTGTAACCCCCCTCCACGTTAAGAACTCCTCCTGCCTTGGCGGCTCCATTGGCTGGAGTGGCCTCCAGTACACCAAAAGACTGCAGGTTTGCTCTGTGGTCAGGGCACATAGCCAGGCTGCATGTTCGATCCCCAGCTGCGGTACGTGCAGGAGAACACTGATGGATGTCTCTCTCAGACTGATGTTTTTCTCTCTCTTCCCCTTCCTCTCTCGCTAAAAATCAATAAGAAACATCTCCTCAGGTGTTTTGTGTTCCCTGACTGAGGACACAGCGAGCCTCACAAGGCCCCCCATTACCAGTGTAACTACTTGCCTGGAGGCCCCCAAGGTGCCATGAGGGCTCTCAAAGGAGTCCGACTCCGTGGATTTGAACTGTGATTTTTAATTCGGAGTAATATGCTGAGGACACATTTGGGCACACGATAAGCCTTTGTCTCAACTACTTCCAAAGCCACCAGATTTCCACCTATCTTCAACCTGCTAACTACCAGAATCCTCACCTCCCCCCCAAAAGTGCTATTCCCAATGAGATTTCTCTACTATAAATCAAAGTTGTTGTGTCCCCTTAACAATTACTGTATGTGCCATCAGCCAGGCCCTTGTCTTTAGAAAACGAGAAATTATCTGCTTTCAGTTTTACCCCAGTTTCCCCTAGGCCTAGGCCACACCCAGGACATGTGATCTTTTTGGAATGCAAATCCAGTCACTTTGCTTCCAGGCTTAAGTCTTGTAGTGGCTTAAATCTGTCTGATAGAAATAAAGTGTGAACCACAGGTGGAATTATGAAATTTTTTGCAGCTACTTAAGAAATGTAAAGAAAACCAGATGAAATTAATTTTAGGAATATATTTCATTTAACCCATATATCCAAAATTACATTTTTAACGTAATCCATATAAAAATCATTGAGGTATTTCACATTGTTTTTCTTTTTTTATAGGTCTTCAAATTCCAGTGTATATTTTTACACTTACAGTACATTTCAGTTCGGGCTAGCCATATTTCACATGCTCATTAGCCTCATGTAACTAGCAGCTACCATGTTGGACAGTGTAGCCCTAAAGCATAAAAATCCAAATTTCTTAACACAGTTTATGAATTCCCACATTGCCTCCTAGCCTGATCTGCCACTCCCCCACGTATGTCCCGTGCTGTTTGTCGTAGCCTTATTATGCAACATGTACACACCCCTTCTTTTATTTGTTTATTTATGGGAAACTGAGGGAGAGAAACATCCATGTGAGAGAGAAACATTGATTCATTGCCTCTCACATCCCACAACTGGGGACCTGGCCCACAACCCAGGCATGTGCCCAAATTGGGAATCGAACCTGCGACCTTTCAGTTCACAGTCCTGAGCTCAGCCCACTGAGCCATACCAGCCAGGGCAACAATGTATTCTTATATTATTGTTTACAGTTATTGTATTATTTTTCCATATGAACAGAAGTAAACTTACTTTTGCCTCACCCTGTGTGTGTATGTGTGTATACATGCACCTAATTTTCTTTTGTGACTTGTGTTCTGTTTAGGAAATTTTTTTAAAGGTTTTATTTATTTATTTCAGACAGAGGGGAAGGGAAGAAGAAAGGGAGAAACATCAATGTGTGGTTGCCTCTCACGTGGCCCCCCCAACTGGGGACCTGGCCCTCAACCCAGGCATGTGCCCTGACTGGGAATCAAACTGGTGACCCTTTGGTTCGCAGCCTGCACTCAATCCACTGAGCTACACCAGCCAGGGCTGTTTAGGAAATCTTTTCATATCTCAAGGTCCTGAAGAGATTCTCTAATTTTTTTCTAAAAGTTTTATTACTTTGCCTTTCACATTTAGGCAAATGATTTATCTCACGTTGATTTTGGTGTATGGTGTGAGAAGGATCAAAGTTCACTTTTTATGTAGAAACCCAATGGCTCATGATAAAATGCAGCAAACTAGGAATAGAAGGGAACTTTCCTAATCTGATTATTGGTATTTGTCAAAAATACATAGCCAATGTTATTCTTTTTTATAAGATTTTATTTATCTTTAGAGGGGAAGGAAAGGAGAGAGGAGAGGGGAGAGAAATATCAATGTATGGTTGCCTTTCGTGTGTCCCCTGAGGGGAACTGGCCTGCAACCCAGGCATGTGCCCTGACTGGGAATTGAACCGTGATCCTTTGATTCACAGGCCCGTACTCAGTCCACTGAGCTACCCCAGCCAGGGCCAATGTTATTCTTAATGATGAAATATTGAATGCTTTCCCCTGAGGTTGAGGATGTCTACTGTCACCATTTCTAATGCACCTTGTGCTAAAGGTTCCAGTGTTACATGAGGCAAGAAAAAGGAAGAAGAGATTGGAACAGAAGTAAAACTCATTATTTGCAGATGACTTTGATTGTTCAATCCTGAACTATTAAAATTAAGTAAATTTAGCATAATCACTGTATACAACACACAGAATCGATGGTAGTTTTATATACCAGTAACAGTTAAAAAGCATCTGATACCTAGAAGTGTATTTAATAAGTGATGTTCAAGATCTCTACACTGAAAACTACAAAACATTGATGAGAGGAGTTGAAGATAATAAAGGGCCCTGGCTGGTGTAGCTCAGTGGATTGAGCACAGGCCTGCAAACCAAACAACTGTGGTTTGATTCCCAGTCAAGGCACATGCCTGGATTGCGGGCCGGTTCCCGTCAGGGGACGCACGAGAGGCAACCATACATTGATATTTCTCTCCTTCTCTCCTTCCCTTCCCTCTAAAGATAAATAAATAAAATCTTTTCAAAAACCCCAAAAAGGTAATGAAGGAATGTACTATATTCATTGATTGAAACAGTCAGCATTGTTATATTTTTTTAAGTTGCCTCTCCCTGCTCCCCAGCACTTAGCATGGTGTTTTCATTTATATTCCCAACCCTCAGCACAGGGCCTGGCAAACAGGAGGAAGTAAATTTAAATTTTTTATACTTTTATTCCAAAATAATTATGGGGTAATAGGAAGTCACAAACAAAGCACAAAGAGGTTCTGAGGACCCCTCACCCATTTCCCCAGCAATCACATCTGACCTGACGGGCACAACATCAGAAGGTGACAACCCACAGACCTCATTGGATTTCACCAGTTTTACATGCCCTTGTGTGAGTGTGTGATAATTCTATGCGATTTTATCACACGTAGATTTGTGTTCCACCACCACAGATCCCTCTTGCTCTCCCTTTGCAGGTCATTCCCTTTCCCCTCCCCCATCTCATCTCTGTAATCAGTGGGGTTAAGTGAATGAGAAGGTCAAGTTTAGTTAAATTCAGTGAAAGGTTGGCAGAGCCTTAAACTGTAGCTGTGTCTAGATGGGACCTCCTTTCTAGTCATCACTTCCCCTGTTGAAAGCTTGATTTTTACCATATTGCTTCTAGAGCTTAGAGTCAAGAGTCAGACTAATGAACCACAACACATACTAATATGTGAATTTGGGCCAGAATATCTGTGTGGGCTGATTAAGTATACTGTCTTCCCCCCAAAGAAACCAAAATATAAAAAAAATACATTAATCTGAAGGCTGCTAGGTGAGCACTGTGTCAAAGCAAGGGGAATAAATAGCGTTAACCATTTCTAGCATGGAGGTGGGGCAGCCAAGTTCCCAGGACCAGAAGTATGACTGCCTCTTTCAAGATCCCACCATGTGTTAAGTGAGCAGGTCATAGTTACTTGATTACGTACATTCCAGATTTCTCAGACGCGTTATTCTATGGCGGTATCATCAGGGTATGACACTTCTCAATTTCAGTCTCAGAGAGGCCTTTTCCTTGTCGCCAAAAGCTGGGGAACCATACTGTAGTCACCAGTAGGTAACCAGATTTGGGGCTGTAAAGCTACAAGGTTTCACAACTTGATGAGCAGATCCTGGAACTCTGCCTGCACTCTGGCCTTGGGCTGAGGTCAGTCCTACAGAGCCATGATTAGCAGCCAGGGGAACCTTAGTTGTATGCTCATCTTTGGAATAGCCTTGGGTTCTTTATGCTGCAGGCAGATTTCGCGCAGACAACTTGAACAAGCTCAAGAACCTATGCAGCAAGACAATTGGAGAGAAAATGAAGGTAAGAGAACTAACAGCCTCGAGAGCTTCAGCAGATATATTTTAGCTTATTCTTAGTTAATCCTTAATTTCTCATATAGTGTCTAATTCTATGGGATACTGAATTTCTTATCAAAGTGGGGGAATTATTTTATAAAGAAATGAAGAAAGGAAGGTGGGGAGGGTACTAAGCGGTGAGCTCATCTCCTGAATTCAGATGTCTTTGTCCGTGTGGCTGCTAAGACTGGGTGACTGCCGAACAACAGAAACTTAATTCTCACAGTTCTGGAGGCTGGGAAGTCCTCGATCAAGGCACAGGTGGCCTTGGTGGCAGGTGAGGGCCTGCCTCGTGGTTCAGAGCCTCCTTGCTGTGTCCTCGCAGGGCGGAAGGAGCCAGGGAGCTAGCTGTCTGGGGTCTCATGAGGCACCATCACAGTGGGGGCTGGGTTTCCATATAGGAGTTTGTCGACTTTCAACGTGGAGTCTTTAGGACGGTGAGATTCTCGGCACACTAGTTCCTTGCTGTTTATTCCGTGTTTATAAAGGGAATATAAATTCCACCAGAACTCTTTTTATTTGAGTTCAACTACAGAATTTCTTAGGGCAGACTTAGGGTTTTTGTTCAGTGCCACTGAGCTCTCTTGTGGAAAGAGCACAGACAGGGGCTCCAGGGGCCCGGCTGCTGGCTGCATGACTTGAGGCAAGTTAACTTCCGAGCCTTGGTTTTTTCCATCTGAAATGACAGTAGTAACCTTTACCTATAGAGAAGAGTTGTGAGAATGAAACGTTGTTTTTTAATGTAGAGAACCTGGCATAATGCCTAGAATATTGTGCGCAAAAAAATATCAGCAATTGGGAGTAACAATGAATGGCTTGCGTCCAAAAACATCCCTCCATGCTTGGAGAATGTTAAGTTTCAGTTTGGGTTTCTGTTGGTATCCAGTACAGTATATTGTTTTAAATCTTTCTTCAAAAATATCCTTTCAGCCCCTTGACCACTTTTTTTTTAATGTATTAAATGCACCCTATCGTCTTTCTCATTTTTAAGTTGCAACTCTCTAAGCTAAACCAAAAAAATTAAAAATGAGGAACCCGAACCAGTCACAAATGTAACAAAGATTCCCCTGGGATTCCAGCAACTTACACTTCCTAACAGTCCTTCTCCTTTTCACAGTAACAAACGCTTTCAGCTTGTGACTGGCTGTAGAAATTGATATAATCATACTCTGTCTCCCTGTGGGGGCTGTGATACTTAATCATTTGCATGCCAGAGGCCCCATAATCATGTTAATTGCCATGTATACTCCCTCCTGCCTGTGTGTTCTGTGAAGCACATACACAGGCAGTGACAGCCAGGTGGTTTTTTAAGGATTTTATTTATTCTCAGAGAGAAGGGAAGAAAGGGAGAGAAACATCAGTCTAAGGCTGCCTCTTGTGCTCCCCCAACGGGGGCCTGGCCTGCAACCCAGGCACATGCCCTGACTGGTAATCAAACCAGCGACCCTTTGGTTCACAGGACAGCAGTCAGTCCACTGAGCCACACCAGCCAGTGGTTTTTCATAACAAGAAAACAGGAGTGTTTTCATTTATGGTTACATTCTTGGATCCCTTTACTGGTAACCCTGCAAGGAGTGTTCTCCTTTGTTGTGCATTGGAGTAGTGCTAGCGTTCACTTACCTCTTAGTGAACGCTAAGCTCACGTAGCTCACATAGCTCTTTTATTGTTTTTTAAGATTTTATTTATTTTTTTTAGGGGGGGCATGAAAGAGAGAAAGAAAGGGAGAGAAACATCAATGTGTGGTTGCCTCCTGAGCGCCACCTACTGGGGACCTGGCCCACAACCCAGGCATGTGCCCTGACTGGGAGTCAAACCAGCAACCAGTTAGTTCACAGGCCAGTGCCCAATCTACTGAGCCATACCAGGCAGGGCTCAATTACATAGCTCTTTAAAGTACTAAAAGTCCTTCTATATACATCTTATTTTGGTTTTGATCCTTGCTGTAAACCTAGAGTGTAGATAGTATAATTATCAGCCTTATTCAGAGGGCAAGGGAATAGGCTGAGGAAATTTAGTAGCTTGCCTAAAATTACATTAGGTACAGAGTCAAGACTTGAACTCAGAACTTGAATTTGCTGCCCTGAGGGATTAGCAGATCGTAAGGGAGCCTCAGTTACCAAATGGAAGATTTGGAGATTTAGGCCATTTTTTTCCTACCTGAGTAGTCTATACTTGTTCTTATCAAGACTCATTCTAGTATTTTCAGACTTTCCCAATTTTTTGAGATGCTTTTACTCAAGTCACTGAAGGGTGTGAGCTGGATCATGGTTGGAATCCTGACTTCTCACTTCAGTGGGTGAGAGTATGTAATGAGTCTAAAGGATTTCTACACTTTTACCCTTGGATTTTATCCTTTCTCATTATTCAGTTTTGTGCAGCGGGATATGAGGTGGTATAAACATAATTGCCTGTTATTGTATGTATAGAATTTTAAAAATCTTTAGGACATTGAATATAATTTCTACACATTTTATTTATACTTGCAAAGCAGATCATAAATCTCGAGTTGTTTTTATACAAGTTTTGCTGAGGTCTTGTATATGTCTTATTGTAATGGCCTTTGATAATTTAAGAAGAATTTGACTCTAAAAATTATCTCCCCCATGGCTATGGGCAAGGATTAGGGATGATGATTTGGCAGAATATCATGAAGAAGTGTGAGGTGAGCCCTTGCTGGTGTGGCTCAGTGGATTGAGTGCCAACCTGTGAATCAAAAGGTCGCTGGTTTGATTCCCAGTCAGGGCACATGTCTGGGTTGCAGGCCAGGTCCCCAGTAGAGGGCACGCCAGAGGTAACCACACATTGATGTTTCTCTCCCTCTCTTTCTCCTTCCCTTCCCTTCTCTAAAGTAAATAAATAAAATCTTTTTTTTTAAAGGGGTGAGGTAAGAAACTGGAGGAAGAAAAAGTCGTTTTTCTTGCCTCCCTAATATCTCATCTCCCCATCTATTCTTCTGCCCTTAGCCTCAGCACCGGGCCTGGCTCAGCAGGTAGACAGGGATTCTCAGGATCGCACCCAGTCATCTGACGCAGCTCTGGCCCCTGAGCACCCAGCGTGTGAGTGTTCTCACGCACCCTCAGTGCCCATACCTCATCTTGGGACGGGGCAGACCTTCTGCCTCTCACATGCCCCATGATGCTGGCCCTCTGACCCTGGTGGGCTAATCAGTCTCTCCAGGATCAGAAAGCTGGAGAGTGGCAGAACAGAGACTCGAAACTTGAACTCCTCACTTCTGATTTACCAAGGTTTCTCCCATGCGGTGCCTCTCTTAGAGACAGTCACGTGGAAGGTTCTGTGATCAGTATATATGACACTTAGTGTGTATTTAGAAAACGATATCAGAAGTTATTTTTTTATTTAACAGTATTGTCTGTCTGTTTTCCTGCAGAAAAAAGAGCCAGTGGGAGATGATGAGTCCATCCCGGAGAACATACTGAATCTTGAGGACATCACCTCAGACACATTAGTTGTATGTTATTATCCTTTTCTACATTGGGATTTCTGTTCTTTTTTTCTTAACTTTCTTCCTAGACAAGTGAATGCTGACACTCTGCTCCACGTAGCATTATGGCATCTTTGAATTTCTGCAGCTGGGACATGTCCCTGTTACTCTCCTTATACCCTCTGCACCTTGCTTACGAGAGAGCGCAGATGGAGTGGAAAAGCCGAGGCTGGGGTGAAGAGGAAAAAGGACCTGAACTATGTTTAGTTTATATTATTCTGTTTTCACAGAGTCAAGGAATTTTTCAACTTACTGCAATTCAGTAAATATTCCCTATATATAATGGGCCTAGCACAGTGATTTCCAAGTTTTTAGTTACTGAACCCTTAAAACCCACAGCAGCATAGCAAGAGCATAGCCCAAAAGGCAGAGCTGCTTTGCTTGAAGGGCCAGGTTGGGGGTGCTCTTCCTGTCCAGCCCTACCTGCTATGGGCTCCCTGCCCCCCAGGAAATCAGAGTACAGTTTGAAACACCTGCAAAAGGAATAAGAAATCAGCTTGAGACAAAGTCTCTTGTTCCTAATAAGTGCATAATCTTCCTAGAGAACAGTTAAGTGAAGTACATAGTAGAGTGATAAATTAGTTTAATCAGGAAGAAAGTTCTCTGCAAAGACCTACATATTAAAACTCCTGAGATACATGGGAACAAGGAGAGTGGCCAGAGTCAATCCCTCTCTGCCTTTGGCCCCCGAAAGGAAATACCAGTGGGTTCGTATGGGCAGGAAAGTGCCGATCCCTGTGTGAAGTAAATCTTGGCCTTTTAAAAGCCTTCATTGTCAGTTTTTAAAAGGCCATACAAGGGCTGTCACCAGCGTACAACAGGGTTAGGGTGACAGAACCTTGTCCCTACTCTGCCCTTGACTCGCTGTGGCCTGTTCACCTCCAGAACCTGAAAGTGTCACAGATCAAAAAACTCCGACTGCTCATCGATGAAGCCATCCTGAAGTGTGATGCCGAGCGGGTAAAGCTGGAGGCAGAGCGGTTTGAGAACCTCCGAGAGATCGGGAACCTCCTGCATCCCTCCGTTCCCATCAGTAACGATGAGGTAGGTGTCGGTGCCACAGTTGCCGGGTGTCGCTCCTCTGTGGGTCGGAGGACAAGGAACCGCTGACACCCTGTGTAATGGGCCTAGTGCCAGAAGCAGGCTGTGCATTTGCTCTGCCCACCAACTGAGAATTGAACGCCTTAGGTCCTTGCCTGATTGGGAAGTGGCAGAGACTGCAGGTAGGAGACTCCTGGCACAGAAATCTCTTCTAAATTGGGCTGCTGTCCTCCACTGTTGCCCCTGGTAGCAGGGAGTCTCGTGGGAGGGATCTGCTAAATCAGCCTCACCCCTCACCCACACCCTGCTGAGAAGCCGCAGGTTGAAGGGGAATCTGCATGATAAAAGTTCCCTGCTGAGTGGGAGCTTCCCCAGCACAAAGCTGCTCTGAGCCCAGCCTTTGTTCCCTGACACCCCAGCCAGAGCGGGGCCCATCTGTGCCTCTCTCATTCATTCCCTGGTGAACAGAATGTTCAACTCCCTGCAGGCTGGGGTGGCCGACTCGGGGAGGTCAGGGCCCTGAGCCCGCCCTCCTGTGGCCCGGGGACCAATGAGAGCCTGGAAAAAAAAAACCAACATTCTCCTCTGCACCCCAGGCAATGTTGATTGTCCAGGACTGAGGTGTCCTGGTGCAGGACATTTAAAAGGGTAAAAAAAAAAAAACAAACGTGATAGATCACTGGGAAAATCATGATTTTTGTTTCTTGGCTAGACCTGCCTCTAGGAATCTAAAAACGATTATTTCTCTGTCGAGCACAGATTCCGTAGCAAATTCCCTTCTCTGGTCTCTGTGCATGGTATCCAAAACCTCATGGTTGAGTTAAACCACAGCTTCACGAAGCTCCAGGTTGTTATTAGAGCAGGGTTTGGAAAGGTGGAGGTTGCAGAGTGCAGAGGTCAGGTATCTTTCTCTCCTGGTCTTATTTCCTTAGGACGCAGACAACAAAGTGGAGAGGATATGGGGTGATTGTACGGTCAGGAAGAAGTACTCTCACGTGGATCTGGTGGTGATGGTCGATGGCTTCGAAGGTGAAAAAGGCACCGTGGTGGCCGGGAGTCGAGGGTACTTCTTGAAGGTAAGAGTCAGGAACCAGTGGGGATGGGATTATAAAGAAGAATTAAAAGAAAAAGGGGAAAAAACGGCAGAAAGCACAATCCACTTAAGGGGTCCCACAAATCTACCCCTTGTGCTCGCTTTCCTACTACAGACTTATTGGCAGTGAGAGGCAATTCTCTTTCTAAGGCAGGAGAGTGCTGATCAGGAGCCCCCAGAACAAAAGCCACTTAGTGTTGCCGCAGAATGAATGAATGAATATATGCTGTGCTGACTTGAGTCAGAACAGTCTCTCGTTTGAGGAGCTGACTAATCAGACAAGTAACAGAGTCAAAGCCACCAAGGCACATGCTGTGAACGTGAGAAATGTCCAAACCTGTAGAGAATGTTATGAGTTTCTTTGAACCAAACTGGTGACAACTGCTGGGAAACCACATCTCAACGGGTTGAGAAAATGCTAAAAAAAATGGCAATTCTGCGGCTTATTTTATACATTCGAGTCACGGGGAGACATCAGGAGGGTTACATGAAACCCATTGGTGGCGGATGTGGGAGGCAGGAGAAAGCAGAACTGGGCAGTTTCTGAGGCTGGATAAGGAATGAAATGAGGGACACGCACTTTTACACCGGTGGGTGTGTGACAGCAGTTCACATTGATGGCACATGGAGATGGTGTTGGGGGAACGAGGTAACAGTGGGGGCCTGTGGTCTGTGCTCTGGTGGGTGAGCCCTGAGGGGTCTGGAGAAGGGATTATGCTGACAAGTCAAAGGTATATTGTCTGCGATGCAAAAAGACAATAGACACTTATTTAAGGTACAGATGGACTTTTGCCAAGGAAGCTATAGGCTCTCCATTAGTTAGGGATTTTTGTGTTCAGACCATCCTGTGCGGTACTTTGGGTCTCCGAGTTTGCCCGGCGGCCGTGCAGGCCTCCACTGAGCTTGTCGGGTTTAGATTGTGACCCCTGTTTTGTCCACAGTGCCACACTGGGGGCAGGCCCAGCGTGCCGTGAGAGCGGCTGGGCCAAGCAAAGCCAGATTAGCCGGGACAGAGGGCAGATGAATCTAGAGGAGGCTTCTTGAAATAATTTTGGAATTACAGTTTAAACTGTACAGGTCCCTTTATATGTGGGTTTTTTCTAATAGATACTGTAAATGTATTTTCCTTATGATTCTAAAATTTATTTAGAAAAAAAATTTTTAATTGATTTCATTGTTTTTTCCTTACCATTTTAAAAAATATTTTATTCATTTTTAGAAAGAGGCACAGGGAAGGAGAAAGAGTGGGAGAAAAACATCAATGTGTGGTTGCCTCTTACGTGTCCCCTGCTGGGGACCTGGCCCGCAACCCAGGCATGTGCCCTGACTGGGAATCGAACCGGCAACCTTTTGCTTCACAGGCCCACGCTCAATCCACTGAGCTACACCAGCCAGGGCTGTTACCATTTTTTAAAAAGATTTCGTGTATTTATCTTTAGAGGAGAAGGGAAGGAGAGAGGGAGAGAAACATCAATGTATGGTTGCCTCTTGTTGGTCCCCTGCCGGGAACTGGCCTACAACCCAGGCATGTGCCCTGACTGGGAATTGAACCTTGATCCTTTGGTTCTCAGGCCCACATTCAATCCACTGAGCTATACCATCCAGGGCCCATTTTTATTTATTTATTTTTAAGATTTTAGTTATTTATCTTTAGGGAGAGAGAGGAATGGAGGGAGAGAAATATCAATGTGTGGTTGCCTCTCACGCGCCCTCTACTGGGGACCCAGCCAGCACCCTAGGCATGTGCCCTCCTGAGAATTGAACCTGTCGCCCTTTGGTTTGCAGGCCGGCATTCAATCCACTGAGCCACACCAGCCAGGGCTACTTTCTTACCACTTTAAAAAATAACATTTTCTTTTATCTAGCTTACTTTACTGTAGGAATATAGTATATGATACTTACACAAAATACATTTTCACCATAGTTATTTGTAGGGCTTTTGGTCAGTAGGCTATTAGTAGTTAACTTTTGGGGGAGTCAAAAAAGTTATATGTGAATTTCAACTATGTGGGGGTGTCAGTGCCTCTATCCCCTTAGGTGTTCCAGGGCCAACGGTACTGTATGTACATACATGGGTATACTTAACGTTACACAAATTAGTCCAGTGTTGTAGGAATTAGCACAAGAAAACTTTCCCATGCACCTGGGGCCAATAATCCTTTTCTCCTGCTCTGGTATCTGAAATAGAATTCTCTTTATGATTTGCCTGGGTGTTATGCTGGAGGCTGGTGTTAATTAAGGCTCTCTTGCGTTGGTTGTTGGGGTGCGTGGTCTCTGCTGGCCTCCTGTGTGCCCCTGGGCTTCCATGTTCTTCTGGCCCAGTTGCCGCTGAGTGTGAATTCCAGCAGCCGACCTCGGCGGTGACAGACGCCAATCACACACTGCAGTGTCTCTGCTCCCCCAGGGGCCCCTGGTGTTCCTGGAGCAGGCGCTCATCCACTATGCCCTTCGCACCTTGGGAAGTCGGGGCTACACTCCCATCTACACCCCCTTTTTCATGAGGAAGGAGGTCATGCAGGAAGTGGCACAGCTCAGCCAGTTTGATGAAGAACTGTATAAGGTGAGTGGCTGGGGGTGGCGGGACTTCCTGGGCTGGGAAGTTCAGCTGCACACACAGGCAAGGAACAGCGCTGTCCTGTGAAATTTCCTGCAGTGATGGGAATGGTCTGTGGCTGTGGCTGCTGAGCACGGAAAGGCAGCCAGTGCCACTGAGGGGAATGACATTTTTTTTTCTTAATTTTAGTTTTAATTTAAATAGCTACACATGGCCAGTGGCTACGAAACTGGACAGTGCGAACCTCAAGCCTGTTTGATTTTTTTCCCCCAGATGGTCTGTATGATGTATCGAAATGAGCATACTTTAACATTATGAGCTTAGAAAAGAAACACATTTATTGACTGGTTGGACGAAAGGAAGTTATGGAAGTGGCTGGTCTTACCGGGTCCTCCCACTCCTGACCCCAGCCTGGAAGCTTCCATAGGGCGAGACATACTTGCCTGGGATGCATGTGGCTTCTTACCAACCATGGACCATCTCAAGGAGAGCCAGAGGATTGGACTCGAGGTTCAGAAGGTCCTTCTAATCAACCGGACACCAAAGTGACTGAGGATTGTAACTACTAGACTAACCCTGACGCACCAAGAAAGCACAGACCAGGTCTCCTGTTGCCCAGCATTGGCAAAAAAGGACTTGGCCCTTAGCAAATGCCCCGCAAACATTTGTGGGTTACATTATATTGCCACCAGTTCAGGTTTTATTGTACATCTGCCATCATTGGCCATTATACGTCATTTACTAGATAAATGTAAAATATCAGAGTTTTTAATCTCCTTTTAATTTGCTTTTCTTTGACCTCCATTAGGGACCTCATTTGGGGCTGACCCATTCCCTTCCTCGTCGTTATTGTCCCCTGCTCACTCCCGGGCTGGGATTAAAGACACACTACTCCCTGTCCCATCACTCCCATCCTCCCCGTGGTTTCTGCCCTAGCTGAGGCCCTCCTCCATCACTCTTCACTAGTAAAGGCCCCTCCTCCTTCAGGTGATTGGCAAAGGCAGTGAGAAGTCCGATGACAACACCTACGACGAGAAATACCTGATCGCCACCTCCGAGCAGCCCATCGCTGCTCTCCACCGGGATGAGTGGCTGCGGCCCGAGGACTTGCCCATCAAGTACGCTGGCCTGTCCACCTGCTTTCGCCAGGAGGTGGGCTCCCATGGCCGTGACACCCGCGGCATCTTTCGAGTCCATCAGTTTGAGAAGGTAAGTACGAGAGAGGTTAGAGTGCGGCCCCTTCTGTCCATCTGTCTGGGGTGGTTGGGGGACAGACAGGAACTGTGTTGCTCAGGCCCACCCCGGCTCCAGTCTTCCCTCCTGTTGCCTGTGTCTGTGTTTTCTGGGCCAGCGACTGGGCAGCAGCACGTGGTGGAGTGGCTCCCAGCACAGACTCTGCAACCAGGCTGCCCGAGTCCGAGTGCCAGCCCTCCACCTGCCAGCCGCGTCACCCGGACAAGCTGCTTAGCCACTCCGTGCCTGGTTTTCTCCCTGGAAAAGGAGGGTGATAGTAGTGCTCACCTCATTAGGCCCACTATGAGGATTTAACTAGTTAATTTGAGAAGCACCTAGAACAGCACCTGGCGTGTGTGTGGCAAGCTTTCTGTAGAAGCATGTGTTGTTACATACCCAGTCCGTTGTGGCATGGGGGCCCTGGCCTCACCTGGCTCCCAGTGGCAGGGGAACAGGTCCTCATCACCAGAGTGGCTCCCACGTTGCTCCTTTAGTTGATTCACCCTGTTCCATTGCTGTGGTCTCCTTGGCTCCCTCTTTGCAGATTGAACAGTTTGTCTACTCCTCACCACATGACAACAAGTCATGGGAGATGTTTGAAGAGATGATCGCCACTGCAGAGGACTTCTACCAGTCTCTGGGAATTCCCTACCACATCGTGAACATCGTCTCAGGTACTGGCCTCCCTTTCCTGCATCCCACAAACCACCACACACAGCACACAAGGAAACAGCTCACAATCCAGTTAATTGCCACATTAATTAAAATATCACACACTCTTCTCACTTGGGAGTGTGTGCTGATAAAAATATCTGGGCATGATTTCACTTTGGGGGATAGGCTGTGAATTAAAGAATTGTTCAGGTTCGCTAAAAGGTTAGCCTTCTGAAATACCATCCCTCCTTCATGAATTCTAGGGGGTTTTCTTTACAGGTTCTTTGAATCATGCTGCCAGTAAGAAGCTTGACCTGGAGGCCTGGTTTCCGGGCTCGGGAGCCTTCCGTGAGTTGGTCTCCTGTTCTAACTGCACAGACTATCAGGCTCGCCGGCTCCGAATCCGATACGGGCAAACCAAGAAGATGATGGACAAGGTAGAGGGCCCTGGTGGGGTGGGCAGTGGGGCCTTCGGGGCAGAGTAGATTCGTCTTATTTCTCAGGCCTTGCAGTGCGTGCTGCTCAGCATCAGGGAAAACCTGGGCTCCTCAGTCTAGATAAAAAAGGGAACCTGAAAATGGCCTCTGCTGAATCAGGACTGAGTCCTTTTAGAGAGACTCCCAAATCTAGCTCCTTTCCACAAAGTCATTCTCACTTTTCCCTTTTTGGCTCTGTCTTCTGCAACTCCAAAGAAAGAGTAATCCCCGTTTGTCTACGCAGGACAAGTCGGAGGCAATGTCTTCCCTCCTCTCACCCGGGGAAGTCTGGGTGGTAAGCTGGTCTCCTCAAACCCAGAGTTCAGGCCCTGCTTTTCTAAGAAAGGGTCTTGAAAGGGTTTAAAGGGAGAGGCCCTTGTGGCTGAGGGTTCTTTTTCCCTTAAAAGACCCAGCTCTCCTCCAAATCCTGGGACCTATCGCTTGCCACTCATGGAGACATGAGGAATCTTCTGGACTTCTCTGATAGGCAGTAAATACCAAACAGTTCACGTTGAGAAAAAGCCCAGTTATGGGTTAGCTGGGTGGGGGCGTCTGGCTGGGTGAGTGCTCCCATCCTCGGTTAGACCACCGAGGGCTGAGGTGACCTGCCCTCTCCTCACAGGTGGAGTTTGTCCATATGCTCAATGCCACCATGTGCGCCACGACGCGCACCATCTGTGCCATCCTGGAGAACTACCAGACGGAGACGGGCGTCGCCGTGCCCGAGAAGTTGAGGGAGTTCATGCCGCCTGGTAAGGCCCCGGCCCAGCCTCCTCCTCTTCTCTGTCTTCACACTTCTGAACTGCAGGCCCCTTTCAGAATGGACCCACCTTGTTCACACCCAGTCCCCAAAACTCCGTCTGTCCCCTGGTGCTGGGCGTTGTAGGGGCAGAGCTGAGGAAGTAGCCAGTGCAGGCACTGCACAATAGGTGTCCTATTGAGATGCAGCTCCAAGTCAGGCTGGGGAAGGAAAGAATAAATGAAAGCAGTGCCCATCGAGGGTGCCCTTTTGTTGAAAGGCATCGTTGTCTTTCGGCGCTCACCCTGCGGCTTGTGGGCTCTGACCCCTGAGAAACGAGGGGCTCTTCCCTTCCAGGTCTCCAAGAGCTGATCCCCTTTGTGAAGCCCGCACCCATTGACCAGGAGCCATCAAAGAAGCAGAAGAAGCAGCATGAAGGCGGCAAAAAGGCAGCGCGAGATGTCACCCTGGAACAGCGGCTGAAGAGCATGGAGGTCACCGATTCCTGAACATTCCCTACCCCCAGTTCTGTCAGCTGGGTGGGATCCCAGCGCCTGCCCACAGGCAGGAAAGCCAGGCACCCACTTACCACCCGCCCCGCCTGACTGCTTTGCTACAAGGGGAACGAACCAGCTGCCGTATACAATTCAGTGTTCTCATCCGTTCGCTTGGGCCTAAGATCCAATCACTGAGGACTGATGAAACCACATAATAAAGCATCTCTGGGGGAGGCTGGACTCTTCCACAGTCTTCTGCCTGGGGCACACACCCTGTCTCTCACGGTTCTGGAACCGAACTCACTTTTGGTTTTCCTTCTGAGACGGTTCCATTTAGCAAGTCAGAGAGCCTTTGGGAAGGGAGGTGGAGGCAGCTGAGGCACTAGTAAAGGCTCCAGGGCAGAGGGAAATCTTTGGGTTTTAGACACATGGGCTTGTAGAACAAGGGCCAGGATCCTGTTTTAAAAATCTGCTCCTGCTTGAAAGCAGTTAAGTAAGACTAGCTTAGAGACCAGTTGATATAAAAAACCTCATAGCATTTCTGTTCCCCAGGAAGGGCTCTTTGGAAACAGAGGGAAGCTGTGATGTCTCAGGGGAGATGAGACTATATTTAATCCAGAAGGGGGCCTAGATTCAAGAGCATCAGGCAGGGCCTCACTAGCAGCTGCTCCTCTTTCCAGTCACTCCCAAATGGAGGCCAAGTGCACAGCAGCGGGTTGCTGCGACTTTGAAGGATAGAACTAGCTCACAGGATGGGGGCGAGGGGTGGTTGCGTCCCTTCTCTGGAGCTCCCACTGTGGCCCCATAGCCAGTTGGCCCTTGCTCTGGGGAGGGTGATGTTTAGCCTCTTTATTTGCCTGCTGACTTTCATCTGCCATCTCCAAACACTTCACTTTAATAACCCCTCTTGTTAGCTGAGTGCTTCTCTCCTAGAAGCCTAAAATACTTCCTATAGATGATCTCTTTTATCTTCGTGATGGTCCCAGAAGCGAAGGTGGGGACGTGATTATACCCCTTCCTTCATATGGAAGACAGAGCACAGGGCAGGTGACGGAGCTGAGACATGGCCAGGCAGAAGCTGGGAGTCTTATGCTTGTGTTTCTTTGGGAGGCTGAGAGGAGGATTCTGAACTGGCCTGTCACTTAGGAGCCTTCACGTCATGTCAGCTTCCTCAGTCCCTACGCAGCAGCTTCGCTGGGCCTGCTGGAATTTGGCACCCCAGAAAGCAGCCACGTGTTTGGTTTTCCACTGGGAACTTGGGGCTGATCCTATTAATCTTGCTGCTGGAAACGCTGTCCAAACTGAGGCACCCGAAAGGGTGACTGCAGTGGCTGTCTTGCCACGGGCAGGCTCCGTTGGCCCACTTCTGCTGTAGTGCAGCTGCCCCCAGCTCTGGGATGACAGAGCCGGAGCCAGAGGACAAAAGAGCGAGCTGCTCCCACTGAGAAGGACCAGAAATGCGCATTCCTGCAGCCCCAGCTGTCTGACCACAGGGAGTGCTGGCCACCGAGGGCCCCTTGGGCTTTGGAGTTAGACACTGAGATGGCCTTGAGCACCCTCCTGTAGCCACAAAAGTCACTGCAGCTGCCTCCTCTGCTCCCCACCCTGACACTCTTCAGTTCCTGGTGCCTGGGACCTTCCACCAGGAGGGCAGAAGCGGAGGCCCTGAGTCCAGGGGTGCCTGGGCCAAGCACTTGGAGCACTGGCTGACTACCTTCTTCTCACCTGACTTGGTCTCTGGAGCTGGTTGCACCTGGAACTCCCTGCCACTTTACGCAGACGGCCTCCTGCCCATGCTGTTGGCAGCCCAGCTCCATGCCAACCTTCTACCTGCCCTGCAGCTAGTTCGGGGTGTGGACTGGCCTGGGAGCCTGCGTGGAGAAAAGGAGAGCATGGAAGGCTCAGCATGTGGCTGCCACGTGGACCCACTAGTCTGTTAGTAGGAAGTCTGTCCCCTCTTCTGGAAGCCAGAGGAGAAAGGGGTGGTCGTGAAGGAAAAGATGCCCCTGTGGCTGAGGTCCCTCCCAGCAGGGTGTGCACTGGAACATAGCCAGTGAGCACCCGGGCACACACTTGTTTATTGAGCGCTACCCCTGTGCCAGCCACCATTAAGGACAGAGTACAGAAAGAATGGGATACAGCCCTTGCTGTCAAAGACCTCAGTCATGGGGAAAGGTGTGGCCTGCCTTCCTCCAGAGTGAGCTGAAACCCTGACTCCTTCCCTCCCTGCAGCGGAGGGATGGGCTGGTGCAAGCCTCATTTAGGGATGGCTGGCCAGCCTGGAAGCTGAGCACTTGGGACCAGGACCAGATAACCTTGACTCCAACCTGGCAGTTGCCTGGGCAGCCCACAGCTGATGCCCTCATCCCTGGCACCTTGGCCTGCCCCATGTCCAACCGCAGCTGCCCAAGTTACCTCAGTTAGCAAACAACCCCCCCCGCCCCCCCAGGCTGAGTGGAGTGAGTCAGAGCCATGGGTCCCTGAACAACCCTTGGTTCCCACACCCAGGAATTCAAGGCCCAGGATGCAGGTCTGGGTGCTGCAGGCAGGAGAGACACCAGTCTTCTCTCCCAAGAGATAGAGACAACCTGGAGCCAACTTGGAGGAAAAATTCTAATGAGGGCAACTGTGGGGACCCAACATAAGCCCAAGGAGCCTGGCTGCACTCACTTGAAATTACTCCTGGGCACTTTCCCTGTGCCCTGTCCACTTTTCCTTCCCTGGAGCTTTCCTGGTTTACCTGGGGTCCCCAGCCAGCCTGCTTCCTCCCACCCCAAACCTCCCTGGCTGAACTCCCAGGAAGAGCCTGATGGGTAGAGCTGGGATGGGCCCCAGAGAAATGTGCTGCGTGTCAGAGCCTGTGCCAGGAGAGGGGCCTGCCTACTCTCCCACCTTCACCTCCCAGCGGGGTACCCCCAGAGCTCCTCCCAGATACACAAAGAAAGGAGGGGCACAACCCTACATCCCCAGGTGGGGGTAGTAGTGTGGTGGGGCTGCTCAGCCTCTGACATTGCCCTTTTAAGAGCCCCCCCCCCCACAAAGGGGTGCGGGTGCGGCAGGCAGGTACCTATTACAGAAACCCAGGACTGAGCTCCCCAGCAACCTGCGGAAAAGGAGACCCAGACAGCAACGCTGTCCCCTGCCAGGGCCCATCCTGTAGGTCCCCGGACCTGCCGGACAGAGGTAGGGGATCCCGGGGAGCCCTGACTCTGAGACAGCCCCTCTTTCTGGAAGGGAAGTTCCCCTTTCGCTGCTGTGATTGGTTGGCTGAGAAGCCCTGCATTTAGGAGAGCCGTCGGGGTCCCTCCATGGGAGCTTCCCACCCCGCCACCCCCCAAGCTTGCTGTCAGAACTGGCCTGGAAAATGATTTTCCTGGAGATGTAAATTGCGAATAAGATGGCCTGACCCTCCAGGGAGACTGGTTGTTTAATCCCGAAGAAAGAAAAGAACTTAGCGTCCATTTAGAATGGCGTTCAATCCTTTACTCCTTCCATTTTCTCAGGGGGCAAGAATTTATTTCTACTCTTCCCTCCAAGCCAGCCCTGGTCTGCTTGTGCTCTGTATCACACCGCCCTCCCTCGGGTGCCCCTGAGACCTCGGTCTTCGACTAGCTCTTCTGTCACTCCCTCCCCACTCCTTCCCCTCAACACACCCACCTGCTCACCCCCACCCCCCACCTTAAAGCCACCTTCCTGCCTCCCTGCTCGGGCTGGCAAGGCGGGTCCACTCCGGCTCCTTTCCCTCCAAGACAAACAGTGGACACTTCTAGGCTCTGCTGCCTCCTTGACATTTGGGGCCCCACCTGCTCAGAGGGCGGGTGGAATGTTCCAGACAGAGAGCAGGAAGAAGGCCTGGCTGAGTACTGGGTGCAGAGTGAATGGGAGGGGGAGGGGAGGCTAAAGCAGGCGGCAGGATGAGGAGTTTAGCACCTGCCCCTAACTGCCGGGTTCCATAGGTGCTCTCCCTGCTCTTTCCCTGCCTGCTCTCTACCTCTGATCCCAAATTCACAATCTCAGGCGATCAGCTTCTCGGGCTCCAGACCCCCCCCTCCCATTCACAGTGAGCCTCTCCACCACCTGGATGGAAAACCCCAAAGTCCAAGTCTAACTTCTCAACTGATTCACCCTCCTCTGGTTATTCAGGTACCCATAACAAACTCCCAGGAGCCAGCCTGGACCACCCCCTCCTCGTCCCTAGGGGCCAGCCTCCCACAGTCTCACTGAGTCCTTCATCACTCAGACCCGCCCCTTCAGCAGCCCGGCCCCCCCTTCCCCCGCACCCCACTGCTGCAACCGCCTCCTGCAGACCTGCCAACCCCCCCCCCATCCCAACCACTACTCACTGTGCCAGGGGCTGCAGATGCTACAGCCATGATCCCGCCTCCCCCCACAGTGCTCCTGATGGCTCCCTCAACTTCTCACATAAAATCCAGAGCCAACCAACTGTGGCCACGGCTCAGCTAAACAGGCCCTTCTGCTCTGCTTGTCCCCACCCCAAGCTCTGAACGCCAACCCACCGGGCTGCACACACACCTCTCCCTCCGGATCTGTTCATGCTGTTTCTGCCACCTGTCTGCAGAATTCCTCCTTCCTCTTCCGGGGGTTCAAATGCCACCTCCTTTTCCAACCCGCTCCCATCCCAGACAGAAACACTAATGAATACAACTCTGCCAGCACATTCGTCTCGGTCCACTCTAGACCGGCTGCTCCTTGAGGCCAGAGCTGGACACATGTCATGTGGGTCCCTCTCACACATCACCTGGCACCCAGGGCACAGCTAACTATGGCTCAACCCACTTGGCCTGCTCTGGTAAAGTGAACAACTAAGTTATTGAAGGTGTTGCTTCAGGGTTTGCTGCTCAGGAGCCAAAAATTATCTCAGCAGAATCTTACACAGACTGTATTTAGTATGGAATGCTAGCCTGTCGAGCCACCTCTGGCAAACAGCGCTGGCACTGTGGATTGAAACTATCACTGGATTAAGGCGTCCAATGCCATCTTTTAATGAGCCTTAGAGGAAATCTGTGTAACTTGGCTGGGGCGGACAGCAGGCCTATGTCTCCTGGCTGCAGCCGGCACTGGGAATGCAGTTCTGTGGTTGAAGTGGATGAATGCAGGTCTCTCCACAGAGGAGCTTCTAGACCCAACTGGCCTTCCAGACAGTGGCTCCAGGAATAGAGGAACACCTAGTCACTCCTCTATGGCATCCATCCATCCATCCATCCATCCATCTATCTATCCATCCACTTGACCAATA